AGAGTGGCAAAAGGAGAACGCCGTAAAGGCGACTGTTCAACCAATGGCGACACCTACCAAATTGGTCAAATTGGTCATGGTACACAATTGAACCCACAACGATATTCTACATGTACATGTATACGATTTGTATTGCATATGAAATACTAGTCCTAGTTTGAGAATCATCAGCATTCATCAAGTGTATATATATTTCTCGTCGTCAATATTTCATTGTATTTCACCTACTATGTCGTCCTCATCTGATAAACAACCAGTCATGCATAATTGACAGTTGTGTATTTTTAGGTAAAATTATGCGGGTATTTTTGTGTGTCTGTAAACAGACAATTAAAATAGCCTTCCAATGCACGAACGTTGACACAATGACGTACATGTACTCTGTACAACCTCTTGTGCAATTTAGAAGAGACAAATCAACAGTTATATATACCATAGGTTATATACAATATTTGCATTGTTATTGTACTTTTGGTGTCTTTTATTACAGATTATCATAATCATTAATTAAATTACTATAACAGATGTTTGTGCCGGGATATACGTATCCAATCTTGTTCGAGTTGAATTCATAAAAAAATACTGCTGTGTTCGTCGCTACCATGTTATGGTTGTACTTGTGCTTGTGCACATTGTCATGACAACGTGAGAGTTTTAATTAAATCAAAGCAGTGGGGTTGGCGCGTGATCACGCTATCCAAAGAATGTCCATTGAAAATCAGCTTTTTCATTCAAGGGATGCTTCGATTACTCAATGAATTCTGTAATAATTATTAAGTATCAAGGGGTAACAAAATTTGGGTTGCGAAATAACTTCTTCATTTTATTGGTATAGCTGGTCCAGATTTTTTTGAACACTTTGACAGAGTGTGGGCGATTCTTGTGTATCAGAAAACCCCTGACATCGTTCTCTATCCTGTTATTAAAACAGCCATACGTACATGCGTATCCAATGTGGGCATTCACAATTTTGAAAGCGGTCTGTAAAATTGAGACCACGAGCCTAACTCACCGCATGTCACGTTCCTGGAACAACTACTAAATTCTGTGTAAAAAGACTACGGTTAGCAGGGATTACTGCAGAGTCACGACTCATTCGACGAGTGCCCTCTGGGTAAAACCCGAAAGCATGTGACGTTCAAGAGAACGTCGATAATGTTTTGAAATTCTTCGAGAAAAAAACCCAAAGGGTGTCGATGTGTATAGTACTTCAACGTGTATTTTGGTATCATAGTGATAAATCTTGACAGTGACGGGCAACGGGGCAATTAAGACCAAGAGCATCGATGCAAACCAGGGTTGTTTTTTTTTGTAACTATAGGCCTACTACTACTAGGCCTGCCTCTATTTTCTTGAAATACAGGCGGTAAAAACGCGTCTGCCGCCGGACTGTACGATCACAGGTGCGACATGCAAGAATCAACTTGACACAAATAATTTTTGACATTTTGAAGAAAGGGAAACTTGTCATTTTGACGTAACAGTTAATCCAAGCATTATTGTGTTTTGATGGAGAAACAAAATATTCAGCACGTAGTAGTCTCGTATGGTCCGCTGTAGAGGGAAACACGGTTGCGTCTGCCCCGGCTAACCTCTTGCAAGACAGGTGTTAGAAAATTGAATGCCACCAGTAACTTGTAACTATAACCAAATTATGATATGTACATGTACTTACTTTTGTATGCACTTGTGACTGTGTAGTCAAGGTGCTTACACCGACCTTCCGATAGTGACGAGTGCAGGCGACCGTTTCTTCCAATGGGTTTGCACCGCCGTACATACGTGCTCTCAGACCGGGACGGTACGGCACTAGCACGACCCTGCGCCACCTCTGCCCGAGATACATTCTGTTTGCTACTACTTTCCACCTTTTCACTTTGAGATACGATTCCATTATCACAAGTTGCAGCACTGGCCCCTCTTTCTGGGTGGTTTAATTCCTGTGAGGCGGAGAGGGACGATGTTCTTTTAGCTACTTGCTTCATGGTGCATCCGATAACCTGTCACGGAGTATTTATACCCTGTGCTGATATGCTACCAGTTTATGTGATAACACCCCTCGGGATATCCACAGGTTTTTTATCGTTCCGAGAGAGACATCAACGAAAATGTAACATTGCACAGTAATACATACATGATTCTCCGGTTTCAATCAGGAATTTCTCAGATCACAAGTGACATCTTGGTGACCATTTTACCTCAAACTCCGTAACCAACGGGGTGGGGTCTGATTAGAAATCACAAATAGTACGTCACATGCTCTGGGGAACTCGTGGCCTCTCCGCCATCCGAAGGCTGCTCCATGATTTGCTGTCACAGTTTCTTCTGTATGACGTATAGTATATTTGTCCTATGATCACGCCTTATAAGCTTTCCGTCGAATCAAGGGCACGTGCACGTACGTGGAACAGACAGTAAGTAGCCTGCGATACGGCCCATCACCATTGATATTTTATGGCAGTATCGTATAAATATAGATCACCGATAATAGCACTGTCGAATTTAGAGTAAACGGGATACGTCATATCAGTTATTGGAGAGTGTTATGGAGAGCCTACATCGTTATGCGTTGTTACATTTGACCAGTAGGAACCGTGCCGCATATCTATTTTCTAGTTGACACAATTCAACCCAATTACAGGTCAATGCTACACTGATCGCAACTTCCTTTTGACTCTTGCAAAATCCGCTAACTTCGTGGTATTCATCGACTACAATGCTTTCAATATTCCGCATTCCTTCTCTGTTTTATGACCGAATCATTTCAATTGCGCCCTTCATAACACAATGTGTTGCGGTTCATGATGTTTTATAGGTTTGAGGCTGAAGCCGTACAAAACCCATGAACCATCACAACAGACGATTGTTAATAGGCCCGGGGACATCTTTTTTTATTAAATAAAAGTTGCAACTAGTAAAGCGGTGCGACAATTAAATACTTGTTCACGAGTCTATACCATGGTAACAATAACACTTTCCGCATAGCTGAAACACAAAAAGGACCCGTTTGAAACGCAAGAGGGCAGCAGCGCTTTGGAAAACTTTAAATAAAGTTGCTTTGGGATATACATTAAACAAGCATGTACATGTATTTGCAACCATCTCATGTTGTGTTCATGGACTATATAGGGTCCACTGAACTAATTCAAGCCCTATTGAAAACAGTGGAAAATCAACAAAGTTCGGGGCCAAATAACATGCAAAGAGACATTACTGGGTTTTTTTTCAAACAAAAAAATATTTAAATATTCACACCCAAACAAAATCACCTCCCAAAAAGTGATAGTTCCCAAGCCTGCATGTAGCCATTTTACAAGTGGCATCCTTCCACTTTCTAAGGCAGATAGGACCCATTTTTCGTCCGTAATTTTATCAAGCCTGCCAGATGGAAGCCCAAAAACCAGGGAGTTGAACCTTGGGTATATTTACACAATTCCACCGTTTTTAAAAGCCAAACGGTCTCCGTTTTCAAAAGAAGTTGTTGGGGTCACTTTTTATGCTAATGAGCTCGCATAGAAATTCTCACTTGAATTAGTTTAGTGCACCCCTATGGGGTATGGGCCAGTGCTTCCTGTAATCCACTTTCCAATATTGAATTTCCTAAAAATTCAGAAAAAGCACATTTTATTTCCTTAAATTTCGTCAGATATCTTAGCATTTTGTCTAATATTCCTGAGATTTTCCTTAAGGCCAAAAAAAAAAGTCTCCGGTTTCTGGTATGGAGCTTGCCCCAAAAGTGGTGCGGCGACGCGGCTTTTTTTTTTTTTTTTACCTGTTTTTTTTTTTTTTTTTGGCTTCAAATGTCGGCTGATGACTGCAAATGGTGCCCGACTAAACTTAGTGCAAATATATGGGAGTCCAGAGAGGCCACATAAATCTTGTTCTCGATCATAACCCCTTCTAAAAACACGTTAAAATTGTGCAGCAGCAGAATTCCAGTCAAACCAGTGAGTTTGGCGGTTTTGAAACATCATCTTGTATTGAAACAAAAACTTTTTCATTTTGCCGACGCGCATTGGCCTAAAAAAAGTTGAACTGAAATACACCATGGAAACAAGTATTATTACGTTGTCATTAGTAGTTAGTTTTAGAAGTCAGTTTGGGCCTAGGGTATCACGACACGGGCTCGAGAATGTGGCTTCGGCTACTTCTCTGTCGGCAATATCGTGGTGGACGCGGCCCGCCCTACACAAGCATGAAGGGATCACAGCATGCCTGGGGTCCGCCCGATCTTAGTCCGATGGTCCGAAAGTTCATAATCCGAACGTTCGATGGTCCAAACACACAGATTTCCTATACCTGGGGGTTCATTTATCTGAAAGTGAAATAAGGTTTGTTATTCCGAACAGTTGGTGCGATCTTCAGGTGGTTTCGGACTACGCAGCCTTCGGACTAACGGACCTTCGGACTATCGAGCGGTAACCGAAAGCAGAGCCGCAGTCAGTTCCGTAGGGGTCCCAAACATAGTCTAAGGTTGCTGAAGAACGCATTTTATTTATATTAAAGCAATTTCTTTTATTTTCTTACATTTCATGAACGCTCAAAATCTTCCTTGAATTTATGGAATTTCCTGAAAATTTCCTTAAATTTTTCATTCCCTCAGAAATTTCCTTAAGGTGTCTAAATTTTCTAAAATAGGGAAATTTCCATCGAAGTGGAAACACTGCTGGCTGAAACAATGTTGGACAGGTATGGAAGAATCGGTCCGCCATCTTGGGAAAACAAGGGCCTTCTTTAAAAAAAACAAAACCCAAAACATCCTTCTTATAAAAAACCCCCCATATTTGATACACTTCCACTCTTTATAATGTAAATTTTTTTGAGAATTGTTTTTGTTATATCCATTTTTTAAATTATGGTCCTGTGACCTTTGACCTCCTGCCTATATCAGCCTTTCTCGACTTGGAAACCAACTGGCTGTACTGATAGAATGCTGCATAACACCATCCCTCAAGCCTGGGGTTGAGGGCTGAAAAACATGCACAGATTCAGTGAAAACACTCATTAATACTAAACGGTATCTTTTATTAGTAGTAAATATAAACACAGTACCATTAATAGTTTGAAACACACAAAAAAATATCTTACTGCTTGAAGAGAACATAAGTGCATGATGAAATGGTGAAATAGAAAAAAATTGCTCCAAATAAATCAAGTTGCTCGATAGAATACTTCTACAAGCTTACCATGAGACTTGTTAAGATCCTTTCAGACGGTAGGATGAAAAGGGTTTAGACCATTATATTTTTTTACATTGTTATTTATACAAAATTTAACAGCAAATGTCTACCGTTAATCGATCCATTATCAAGTAGACAGTTGCTGTTGCCACGCTTTATATACAGAATGATTTTACATAACTAGGAAATGTTTAGGCAAAGCCACCAAATAATTCAGCAAGGGAATACAAAGACAAAATATTTAGAAATTTCAATTCAAAAGAAACGTCCAAAATGAACCATCGAAAGTGTGACTAGTGTCTCGGCAATAACATGTGCATAAAGCTTAATACAACACACTATCCTCAAATTCACAAGAACAGGAATTGATACCCTACAAACAAAATGGTGACACTAATACAGAACACCAGAGAAAAGCTTCTTACAGGAGGAGATATTTAACATACATGATTTTAATCAATATAAAGTTGTGCACACTTGATTTTCTTTTGTCGTGCGAAGTTTACAATTAATGAATCAAGTTGTGTACACAGTACACTCTAACAGGAAAGATGCTTCATACTCATTAAACATAAAGATCTTTGTCATGTAAACACAATGGTAATTGTCTTGATTACAATTTAGAGCTCCCCTTGAGCTTGATTGGTCAGTGCTTTTTGCTTTATATCCAAATCTCAAATATTACGAAAGTCTTGCACAAACAATGTCCCATCTGATGGGATGCAGAAAAATTATTACATAGAGAACTTTCTAACAAACTGAATTGTACTCTCGGAAAAAAAACACGTTATGCTTACTTAACATTTCAATGATTGAATGTGACAAAGCGCAATTATAAAAACAAAAAAATAATCTGGTAGAGGGAAATCATTAATATTAATCTCCAATGAGATGCATATAAACTTTACAGTGGCTTAACTTCTTCCAAAGAATTCAGTTCCAGGGCCCAATCTATCAAGCATCACAACACGAGAAAGTCATACTATGGTCCATGAACATGGACGATGTCACCCTTTACCACAAATTGCTTAATACTTACTTTCACTGGGAAATACAAACACTGCCTTTGACATTATAATGTTAATCACTTAAACATGTAAGATGACTGAATGTTTACATTTACAATGGAAACAGTCAATTTGCCCTGCAGCATCTGCCAGATATGACACATCACAATATCCGTGTAAATACCACCAAGTATTAGCAACTGGTCAGATCTGATTAATTCATACATATTCATGATCTGGGTATAGGTGGGGCAGGATCACCTCAGCCGGGGAAACATGTACTCATTTGCACACCAGTTTTCACTGTCTGTGATGAGCTACCATTCAACAACCCAGACTCAAGAACCATTTTAGTATAAAGAAAATAGGTCTGGCAACTAGACAAGACAATGTAAGATGCTCTCGGATTTTCGCGCTCACCTATATAAGAATGTGTAAAGACGAGAACAACATATATCCCTCCTCCAGTTTGCCAATTGAAGCCAATGTTACATGATGGGAACATGGTCTAGTACAAACACGGTAGTCTTAGTAGTGTTCTAATCCAAGTGTGACAAGTATACTGAAATGTATCACAGCGTAGTAGGAAGTTTGGTCCAAGTGCTTGGGTTAGGATCTCAGTGCTTGAATAAGAAGGCATGCTGAAAATGTTCACATATTTTCACAAGCACTTGGACTTACACCAAAATACAAGTCTGACCTCTCATATTCCTAGCACTTCCAGGTAATTGTTCAACACAGCTTTGGTGCCAAAACTTGTTTACCACTACATGGGAACCACTTTTTTTTTTCAGTATACTTGTGACTTGGAAAAAAAAAGGATCTGACTACATTAATGAGCAACTTACAGTCCACAAAGAGAGTAGATTTAGTTTAAAGATACAAAAAACTATATACAAACATTTACACAACTATTTTCTTAATCAGTCAGACCATCAATTCAAACGGAAATTTACAGAAGTGAACAAATTTGAAAAAATACCAATCTGACAATTAAACCCACGAGTACACTCCTGCAGAACTTCAAGCATGCCCTCGTCTTGACAAAACTTGTAAACTCTTTCGCTGCAGAAATAACTGCCTACACTTGAAATAAAACAATGCACGTTTATATTTCAAACCAGCGGGTGCCAGTTGATCTGATTGATATTGGTTTGTGCAAAGTTACAGGCTGCGCAAAAGAACCTCCACTGTGCTCCACATACATGACAGCATCATTCTGTCAATGTGGATATAGTATGAGTGCATGCGCTCGGTAATCATTCGCACTTCTAGACTGGTTTCTGCTGAGTGCTCTCTTCTCAGAAGTCTAGCATATTACAGTGGGTCTGGGAACCAGCCATTTTGCTGCACTCTTTGTAACGCTAAACATATGCATCCTGTGGAAGTATCATCCTTCAAATGTAAATGGTGAATGTAAACCAAATATCAAGCCAAAATGCAAGTGGTTTACGATTATAAACATCCCTTTTTAATTCACTCAGAGTGCCCACTGTAGTGAGGCTGTTCCCCTATTCAAAATTACCCAGTTTACTGGCAATGCCAGTGTCTGCTGGCAAACTATACATGTGACACTGAAATGCCTTTAGATATTTTATTTCACTTTCTTGATGATTACAAGTACTTTCAAAGATATTAATTCTGCTCAGTATTTATTCACTGCGCAAATGACCAGCACCGTACAATCCACTATCTCTGTTGGCCTGACAGCAACCTCAACCCTTTGACAACATCCTCAGTGCTTACGAGTCAGACAAAACACTTGATATTTTTACACCAAACATTAACTCTTGATATCACAATCCTGTCACAAGTCACAAGTCGCCAAGTTCAGTCCAACTTCCTCTTTAAAGAATCAAGCCATGTACATAAACATCAACTGACAAGTTGTAGGACTTAAGGCCGGTTCATACTTCATGCGAAAGCGAATCGAATTTGACGTCATGAAACATTCGCTGCAAAATTCACCCGAGTTGAAATATGTTCTTGCCATGACGTCACAAATTCGCGTTCGCTTTCGCACAGAGTATGAACCAGGCTTTAGACATACTTTATGATTGTAGTCAGGTGTCAGTGAGGGCCATCCATTATAGAGCTAGGTCCACTTTGTAGCCTGTCAGGTGACATAAGAATACAATCTTTGAAATCAGCATCAGGTGAAGATGCTGCCAAGAGACCCCATAGGGGATATACCTTCTGGTAGAACAACTCTAATAAATGATGGATACATACCATAAGGGAAGGTATTTGATCGATGGAACTGAATATACAGATGCAGTCTGACTATTCGAAAAATTCTAAGAACAAAGGACAAGTGACCTGTGACCTCAAAGATTAAATGTAAGAGGGAGTATAGACTTCCACTCAAGCAATATTAATGACTGGCCTGTCCAAAAGATGACCTTGGATGACCTTTGACCTTGGTGACCTTTGACTCTATGAAGCCTCCAGTCCAGGGGACTGGTTTGAATGGGACAGGGATTTCTTCAGATTGTTGGAAGGCCGAATTGGTGTGTTGTAGCTAGTGGCGAATGGGAACCGCTGATGATAACGATCTAATCTGAGGTACTTCACTGTTACAAGTTTACCTGAAAAACAGAAATGGATCAGATATTAAGGGGATAATAGTGTGATGGAGCAGTTATAAATGTGTGGTTTATAACCGGTTAGGGGACTGGCTGCTGATAATGGCCCGAGCCGAAGACGAGGGCTATTATCGACAACCAGGCCCCTAACCTGTTTGAAACATTATGTTTATACCTGTTTCCTTCACACTATTATCCCCATTCATAAAAACTGTTGTGGTTTAAACCATAAAGTCAAAAAAATTGGCGAACTTTTCACGTGTTTTGTTCTTTCATTTTTATCCCATGTCTGAGACTTTTCTGTGGTGCGCGTGTGGACACCTCTCCTTACATGGAGATCAAATCAGTGGCTCTTGAGCATGCTCGCGCTCTCAAGCCAGTGTAGTGTGTAGTGGCGGGGAGCGCGGGTGCTTGCGGCCGGTTTTAAATATCGCTGACTTGGATTTTTTCCGTGGTTTAAAACCACCCATGTGACGGGCTCTCGACCAGTAGGAATGGGCAAACTGTAACAGGTATGTATGAATGAATTATAAAGAAAACATATAATTACATGTACTCACTTGAGGCTGAATAGCCAAAGACTTGCAACAATATGATAGCTCACGTAAAGAAATAGAAAACGTACTGAGATCCAGCTTGACAAATGAACAGGAAAATATGTTGGGGAAATATACATTTTGCAACTTAAGGGCTGAAATAATAAAAAGACTTGAGTACTTTTAAGGATGATACTGAAAAAAAAACACCAAAGTGAACGAACTTACAAACAGTAATGCACAAAATGTTGAGAAATCTACTTACCATCAAACCAACTTCCTTGTAATGCTCTGTATGCACAGCCTGCACTTTCTGGTGTGGCACATTTAACATATACACATCCCTTTGAATAAATGGAGAAAAACACATTATCATGTTGTACATCCTGGGAACAGTTCAATATATTTCAATATAAAAACTTAACCTAAACTTTAACATACATACAGTGATACAGGGATACGGTCAAACAGGGATACAGAATTTTGAACTGTGTCCCCCAAAACTTTGTTTAGGCGACCCAAAAAAGCAAGGACCTCACTGAAATGAAGTATATTAGGTTCTGTATCTGTATGGCTACGTTGCAGAAACCTATTCAGGCATTAGCGCAACGGAGTACTGAGGTACTCAAGGCACTGGGAGTTATGTCTAGTGTTAGATGAATGAAGTACATGAGAGATATGAGACCCATTTATGTGGCACCAGGGTTTACAAGGTGCTGCGGCCACTGCCAGAAACAGCGGGGCTCTTAGCGACAAGAGTTACTGGGTTCTTTAATGTGCATTACACAACACACGGGATCTACGGCTATACGTCCCATCCGAAGGACGAAGCAATAGTGGTAAATTGCCTTGCTCAAAAGCACAAGCACCATGTTCCCACGGTCAGGATTCGAACCCGTGTACCACAGCACACGAGTCGAACACCGTAACCATTGGACCACAGCACCCCTGTGGTTGGAAGGCCTGATGTTTCCATTCTAGCCTAATCTTTCTCAAATGCCTTTTTAGAAAGATACGAGAAAGTTTCCACTGGGATTGAAATGTCACGACCTCTACCTATTGTGATTTGTGCATCTCAGATCAATTCAGTAGGTATTTGCAGCAGATTTTGAATGCACGTCACAAATTGTCTAATGATAATTTGTAATGTGACCACCCTCATTGCGTGAGTGAGAGCAAAGCTTGAGACAGATTGAAAGCACTCCCTTGTGTACTACTTGCAACCGTCCTCAATGTACTATACTATACAACATACTTTTTGAATAAGAAGTCCAGGATAGCATTTACGCCGTAGTAAACAATACCACAGATGTGGCAATACCAACCGGACAGAGTCAATTTGGAAGCATTCCTGTCTGCTTCACTGTGCCTCTTGACTGAGTGTCTTGTTGCTTTATAACCTTATTAAAATTGTTTGCATGCCATTTATCTTGATTTTTATTTAACCCAGCTGCCAAAAACAAACCAACCTACCTCTCTTGAAGTTCTGTCCACAGCAACGTGAACAATGCCCCCATTGTCACCACATCGTTCCAGTATGGCATCTTCTATTGCCACATGCCAATCGCCATCTGATTCCCTGAACAAACAAAAACACAACAAAATGAACAACACATTAATGACCATCATTTCCATAATGTACAGCTTTCATCTAAGAGGGATTGATCCTGGCTGGATAACATTAACTCCTGTTAATATGAGGCTCTCCAGACTGAAAAATGTCCTTATAATTCTAATCTAGAACTATTCATAAGATGCATTGGGGTGATTTGCGTTGGGGTGATATTGGAAGTATGTGGAACCTTGTCTTATGCGGTTGGTCATTTTTCCCAAATCACTGTCACCAATCATGGATCGTCTGTGCGAAATAATGTATATGTACATGTTGTATGTACATGTTAAGTGGGTGTTTTCTTGAAAAGGTAAAGTGTGTATTGCTTTTTAAAAGATTTGTCATATCGTATTAAAGGGAATGTACATCATTGGCTTTTACCAAGAAAAACAAAAACGTTCAAGTAGTCTGGTTCCCTGACTCTACTAAAGATGAAATTGATAAATTTATAGATGCCGGAAAATTGTAAGGTAAGGGAACCAGTCTAGCTGGCCTGCACCCGTTCATGAACATGTAACCAACAGCAAACAAAATTTGGACTGAAAAATGGTAAATTTGGAGCAGTAGTTGAGAAATAGTTAGGTTTTTCCAGCGGTGGTCGGCCGACCACCGCTGGAAATTAATTTAAAAAAAAAAACACTTTCCTTGAAAATGACTTCACACCAGGTGCCACAATTTTACAGGATGCTTTAGAATGTCATTTACCAACATCCTAGTAAGGTATTTCATAAACATTTGGTAGTTTTGTTTTTCGATGTTTGCAAATGTTGTGTATAACCTTTAAAGTGAGATGTATAATTAATAAAATACATACAATAATGTAGTAATGAAATTTGTTATGAAATAAAGAAAAAATCATTTGAATTGGGATGGATAAAATAAAAGAAAAACTGTTTTAGCGGGAAGTCTTAGAGATTTATTTTGGCCATTGACTAGATGAGATTTAGTTCATTTCATTTACAAGAGTTAGTGAGACAAAAAGTATAACTGTATGCTCATGATCTCATCCTAACCAAGCTCATAATAATGAGAATCAACTGTATAGGCTATTGTGTACTGTCTTTGGGCTTAAATTCTTTTTATGAGCAAAATTGTAACCCCCCCCCCCACCACAACAACAATCAAAAGGAGTGTCAGCTTCTTGTGGTATAGTTCTAATAAACCTTGGACTTCCCCCCCCCCCCCCTACAAGCCAGGACATGAAATGTTTGATATCATTTCAGGTACATGTATCTGTTCTAGTTGCCAGTGCCAAGGCTGGTATACATCATTTAATGTAGGTATACAGGCAAGATGTCTTTCATTTGCACACTTGTTTCTACCAGTTGCTATGTGACATGTGATACCATTCAGTTTTCTAGACTCATGAACTTCAAAGAGATAGGGCAATGTATTACATTTCTGGATTACAATGCTGGATGTCTGTACTTGACATGAGCATTAGTATAACTGAGGCCACAAAATTAATAAAGAACCTGATGATCTTGTATTATGAAACATGATTATAAAAATTGCCATGGTTTGACTCAATAAATCAGTCCAAGAAGATCTACACACAGACAAATTTATTTATTTGGCTAAATACTGTCATCGTTTTTGGACACAGCCTGTACCAGTTGTTATTTTCTTGGCTATAAACATGTATGGGTGTATTATTTCACAACAATTCAGAACAATGAAAAAAAAACCACTCACATTTCGGTGCAAAGAAGCTATAGATATTCTTTTTATGAGAAAGTATCTACAAATCCCATCCGTATGCATGTATGTGTGTTTATGAGTTATTCCCGAGTCGATAGCGAAGGGGCCGACAAGGCTTAATTTGCATGGATTGTTGGGTATGGGCTACGTGCGCCAACGAAAGAGGGCGCCCTTTTACCTAGCAATGACGTCCCATGGGCGGGACATTTAAATGGTTGACGTGCACCGTTCCTTGTGTGTGACGCACGTACACCAGGGGATTTGTACTATTTACACGCAGTGGTACGGCTGCCCATTTCGGCAAAATTGCAGTCAGGCAAGATGGTGTCGGTCGGTCACCCCCCAACTGTACTTTCTTTGCCGGTGAGGGGGTACTTGTGAACGGAGCGGATAGTGCTTTACTCTTGCAATAATATCACAGCATGCTTTAATCACGTGATTAATTTACTCAATACTTTAGTGCGGGAAATTACAACTCGAGTCTGTCTTCATCAGCAGGTCATCAGAATGCCGCTGTCAACACAGTATTTGATGGAAGGCAGCCAGGCATAAGATTTGTAAGTTACAAATTGGAGTGTGTGTATAATTTAAGAATATATTGTACCTGTATAAAACAATTGTTCATTTTCGGGTGTCTGGTGCCTATATTAAATATTCTCTGAACCTATATGAATGTATTAGCAGTCTTGTGTACTTATTGTCAGAGCATTTAAACTTCCTTATGTTCTGTAAGCGTCTTTAAGGTGTGTAATTCGTCTAATGTTATTCATTCCATATGCTTAATATTTACAATCATTTCAGTTTCACCTGCTCTGCACAAGCTGATTAATAAATGAAGGGGAAGGCATCCTCGTATGACCTCGCATTTGTTTTGGTGTTGTGCATACCTACAATGACATACTTCGATATTAAATGTCTGTACAAAATATTATACTTTTCATACATTGGAAAAAAAGTGAGATTACAAAAGTACTAAATTAACTCTAACCGCCCTAAATCCTTCAAAATCCTCTTTGCCAAAGTGGAAGAATTTGGAGGATTGAGGTTATATGGCAAAAGTGCATTACTGAATTCGTAGGATGCACTTTGTCAAGGTCTTGGGCCGGACCTTGTGTTGTTTTTGCTCAGCCGTGCATAAATATAGGCCTGGACAATGCTTGAAATCCTCCGTACTGCTTTGGGCTGTCCCTGGTCAAGCCTCAACATATTAACAGTCACTGCTGCAGGATTTTGCAGGATTCAGGCAGTGGTCACCCCTCCATGGACCATATTCAAGAAATAATGAAGGGATTGGCAGGATTGAGGCTATATACTATTTTTCCATGAGGCCAATTCGGGTGATTCACAATGCAGTGCGCCACAAAGAGTTTGCCACAGAGAGTTCATTTATCCCAGTGCATTGTGGGAGAAGGTCGACAAATTCGCAGCGCGGGACATTTGAAATTGATAGTTTTTCCGGTCAGTAATTTCGTAAGCATATGATTCAAGTATCTGTTTGCCCTTTTGTTTTTTTATCAATATGGTGTTTTTTGTCAGGTGGCAGAATGCTAATGCCCCAATCTATAACAAATTAGCTCAAGTTGTCTACTGACACTCATTCAAATTGTTCATGTTTTGTCGACCGTAAACTTGAAAAATAGACTTTCCATGGCAAACTCTTGGTGGCGCACTGCATTGTGAATCGCCCGAATTGAAAGATTTTGCAGGATTGAGGCTAAATCCTAGCAAAAAAAGGCCTAGGGAGTTAGGGTTAAACAAAAATATTACTCTCCGTGTTTCACAGTTTGGTCTGGGTCTGGGGATTTTAAGGTCTGGGTCTGGGAGGGGTAGGTCTTGGTCTTGAAAGTTAAAAGTCATACATGATTCACAAATCGTGTTATTTTGGGGCTCACAGACGGGATAAAATTGTCCTAACTGCATCAAAGCATCTCTTTCATCAGAGTAACAGTGATATAGAAATGACTCACAGTGTAGGATCAAACATGTTCCTGATCTTGAGGCATGGTGTTGGGGTGAACCGGGGCACCTTGATGGCTGTATCCAGGTTGTCAAAGGCTGTGACAAACAAAAGGATTATAGGAAAGACAGAGGAAGTCAGTAGGATTCAGATGGGTTGAGTAGTGAGGTACAGATCACAACACACTTAACTTGATATACAATGAGTTAAGTCAACATAAAGTATTTAGAAGTAAACATTAACCCTAACCACCCCAACTTCATCAAAATCCATCCCCTATTTTGGTGGATTTGGGGGGACTTGGTCCAGAAGGCCTGGCGTGACTAAATATTGATGGACTATGATGGACTTGGGCCTAATGCAGGCCTCGATCTTTACCACGGCCACCGCGGCCAATGGCCGCATGCCCTTCCAACTTGGCCGCAATGGCCCTTCAAAAAATACACATGTCGCGGCCAACTTGGCCAGCGTGCCCTTTTGTCATGTTTGTATTTTACCTCAGCATGTCCCGTCATGACAATCATACATCACGGATATTGTGTAGAGGATCTGTGCATACAAACACCATTCAACATACGTCTAGTCGCGGCAAAAATAATACACGTCTTTGGGTTATGTTGTTGTGTTCGTACGTACACACGCGGGTCATCTCATACACCGTACCCCGGCGTGCAGCCCTTCCCGATTTACCGGCTACGGCCCAACGTACGGCGCGGTACATCCCATCCCACTGTACGATGTACATTATGCACAAATGCCAACGCAACAACCGCTAACCGGAGCGTAATTATCATAATACACTAATATATTCAACTACCAGGAAAACCTGATTGATGGATTTTGACAGACTTGGTCCAATTCCTAGTAAAAGATGCTAGGGAGTTAGGGTAAAAGTAAAATATACCATCTCCAAATCAACATACATGTCCAAATCAACATACAGGTGAATGTATAATTTAAGCATGCAATAGTATTAAGTAACAAACAAATACGTGTACATCCTCCCGATAAAGTACAGTCCTGGATCCCTGCTGTACATTGCACATTGTGACCAGCCCATGTACATGTAGGCTGGTCCTGAAAAGTTGACTTGACCATTGTCAACTAGTGCATATGTTTGATCAAGGCTAGTCAAACTGCAGTTAGCCATGTTTGGCCAAATTTGCTACTGGACGACTTAAGAATCAACTTCCCGATTTCTAGCCAATCAATTTGTGGTATGGCGAATGCAAAAAGTTGTGTTATACAAGGAAGTTATTCAAGAATTTCCTGGTTTTTAATGTTAACTTAAACACTAAAACACAATACACACAAATGGAAGCATGTAATTAGGCATTCCGTGCTTGTGAATTATCCAGTGAGCATAATGGTACAGCAGTTCTCTGTGTTTTCAATACCCACATTTTCCAACTAGTCTGAATATGCAGCTCTGTTAATTTGAAAGACTTGGCATGGGAAACTAACTCACAGATCTACAGGGTCTGACCGTATGACTTCAAAGTGACCCTCCGGTTTCCGCATGATAGGCCTCCGTTGCAGTAGGTTAGCAACCATGTCGTGCATTGTAAACTAGACAGTAGGGTTTATTTTCACGTAAAATAACCACAGACATACGGTTGTCATTATAGTGCGGACCCAGCACTAGGTGTTGGCTCCACATATTTCTCAGTCTTTGCCATCCATCACAGCTTGGAAGGCTTGCCTACTACCCACTTCGCTTCGTGCTATAGGATCTTTGCCTACTACAATAGTGACGCTGACTTTCCGGTAAGCGGATGCAGGCCGAATAACCTGGGTCAGTGAGAGAGCCCAATTCCAATGAATAGTTGATGCGTACAGCATGTTGAACATCCAATACCCATACAGTAGACACAATACAAGACTCAATACATCTGGCCCCAATAATCTAATTAGACAATGTCCGGTAGCTTCAGGTGGACTGACAGCTCATAGCCTACATGCAAGCAGTTACTTTCTTTAAAACCTCCATTCATAAACTTTGGCTTGATACACCTGTGCCAGGTCTTAAACCACTACCCTATATCTGCTACAAGCCAGAGTATGTATATTCACAACAGGTGGACCATAGAAGGTGAATCAATACAAAGCTTCCCTTAAGCCTGGCTTTAATCAGAAGGATGCTAACTCAATCAGGAAATCCCTGTCCACTTCACCTCAGGTAGACTACTGGTAATACACCAGACAGCTTGGGAAGGGAGTCTACTCAGTGACTATTGTATAGCTTGTTGGAGGTCAGTGTTCATACAATGAGACTATGTATCCGTCAGCAGTACCTACACATACATCATACATGTAGGTGGATGCTGGCTATTTATAAAACCACACACTGCTGACAGGAGCACACTCCTGAATCTTTGTGAGGCAAGATTATAGGTTAAGATCATTACATAGGTACCAACTAATCTATTGCGAAGAAAATCACTAACAGATAGCATCCCAGGGCATGACGATTAACATTCATTTTTTAAATCAGCCCCTCTGTGCCGTATATCTATCGTATCTATCATAATGAATATGATATACAAAAAAAAATCCGATCATAAGTTGGTTTTGATTTCATCTATGTATAAATTCATCCATACTCTTGTCTAACCTCCTTGACAATAAGCTGTAACAGCAACAACCCATTTATGTCTGGCAATATGTCTTGTAAGTGGGTGTGTGAGGAAGGACACACAGACAAAACAAGACAAACCTGCATCTTGACACAGCCAAGCCGCAAGATTCTTGGGGAGTCTCGTCCTGAATTAAAATCACCACTTTCCTTCATACCCACCCAAAGTGAGAATGACCTCTGAACTGTTTGACTTACCCGTTCCTTGCCATACTTTCACTCTGTTAGGGTTCAACTCCTGTGCAACAAAATGAAATTGGAAAAAAATGAATATATGCAACTATACCTATATGTTGAGATATTTGGAATCAGGGAGATGTAAATATTTCATATTTGGCTTGGCCTGTACCCACATAATTGTTACCACTATACTCAGTGCTGTCTGAGAGCTTGTGAGATATGAATTCACAAGCTTACTCAGGATGGACTTGAATCCACATTCTCAAGCTTGCTAGTGCAGACATAATACTGATTGTCAATCTTCATACATGCAGCGCACGATTTTCATAGTATGGGATTTTCATTGTACAGCTATCAGTCCATTAGTATGTTGCAAGTTTTCTACATTCTACAGTTCAACTTTGGAATAGACTTCTAAGCATTTAATGCCGCACAAATACCTATCTCCACCAGTAATCCATCCTCTTTTGAAAATTACAATTCCACTAGAAGCAGTGAACCATATGATCGGCACAACAGACATTATAATGAACATTGTCTGACAATGCCATTGCTTACAATTGTGTTTGATTAAAAAACAAATTATACAAGTATTTTGCATTACCATGGCATTTGCCATGAAGCACCAGCATCCCACTGAATTCACGAGTGAAAATGCACTTAATGACTTAATTCTTTGCACTACCACAGTGATGGAATAACATACCAATTTCAAGCCTACTTTGTGTAAGACACAAGCCGTGAGTTGACTCACCAATTCTGTCATGGGTGTGAACGATGAGATGACTGGTGAGGGTAACATCCATCTCCAGACAGGGAACTCCTCACCAGATACTTGCTGTGTCTCCACACGCACTCTAGACTCATTGGTGTTGATGAAATGCACAGCACGCTCCCACAAATGTTGCCTCTCCTTTCTGTTTCACGTCAAAGACAAAATTAAGTGCATTCTTCATGTAAATTAATAACCTCTGCTTTTCGTATCTGTAACCAAAACTTAATAATTGATTACTTTTACTGTGTCACCAGAAATACATTTTTCACCTTGCAAATAAGCCCGGTCCAACCACTGCAAGTAGTACATTGTCAATCCAAAGCTCTTGACACCTTTCAATATGAAGCTATAATGTATGCATGGTCTCCCGTCTTTAACAAATTGTATTTTCTGACAAATTGCAATAAACTGGCTTTGTGAAAGTAAAAAAAGCACTACATTGGATCTTGCATATGTCTATGAGCTCGGCACATAATTTTCACTTATCAACAGAAAATACAATAAATGGGCATACTTCAGCTTTGTTTTTTTGTTACACAACCACCTTGCAGGTTTATGCAGCAGGTTAATGCACACACACTGCATGCCATTCACATGGTGAACCTGTACGTACAGTCAATGACCGCAATTAAAGTAGGCCATTTAGCAGTGTTGAAGCACTCCAAGTACAGGATTCAGACTCAAGTCTGTCTCTAGCCCCAGTTTGCAGTTTGTGTGCATGGTGCTTTTGAACAATTAATTCTTTTTTTATTTCATTTGTTTAAAGAAAATACTTTGTGACTCGGACTTGAATCAAATAACTTGTGATTGCGTTTGGACATCAACCAAATGAATTAAGAGTTGGACTTGGAATGGACTCAAGTTACATGTACTTGACTACAACACTACCACTTGGCACCCTCTACAGCTACTGCACAGTGAACACTCCTTATGTTTCTCATTAAAGCAAGGAACATTTCAAATAATAATAATATAATAATGGAGAAATTTATAAAGCGCAGACAATCATACAAAAATCCACCTCAAGGTGCTTAAACAAAGAGAAAACATACACAATGTATTATTTAAGTTAAAAAAAAAGAAGAAAAAGTTGCAGACCTTTGTATACAAATGCCTTCTTAATGTGTCCACCACTGTAAACTGTGTACTGAATGTTGCAGGCCTTTTGTACATGTACAGTCAATCATGATTGAACTCATACCTAAGTCTGACTTGTGTCCTTTTGGGGGTAAATCAGAGACTCTATGACTTGAACATTGGATGGAATTGTTACAAGTAAAAGAAATAATAATAATTTGTTTCATACTTGGCAGCACTGACTCATGGCTTGGCTCATACTCATAATGTGTGCTTAACTTGCAACTTGGATTCAGACCCAACTGTAATAGGGACACAGACTCTAAATCAAACCTCAAATTTTTGAGAATTCAAATGCAAGTTTAGCTGTCTAATGCATATGAGATTTTGAAACTTACAATTTTGAAACTAAATTTCAAAATTCATGTTTATGTAATAATGCATATAACGTTTAACTTCAATTTGGGTTAAGAATTTTGGAAAACATTTGAAATTACGCTGCTTACTATTCATTTCATTCCATTGGATTCTTTGGCCCATCATTCTGAATGCTTTTACTATTAATTTTTTATTTCAATAGTTCCAAGTATTTAACTCAATCATAAATCGTAAAAGTTAACAAGAACTGTGCACCCTCCACATGTCTTATCTCATTTCCTTTGCCCGTTGAAATGTGGAAACGAATTAAACTAATTTGTTTTTAGATTTCTGGCGTCAACATGTAATTGGTTTTTAGACAAAGTATTAGATGACACATAGGCCAGACTTCCTCTAGGGACCTCTTCAAAGTAAGAACCTTCCTCGAAATATTTATCTCAGAAGGAGCGTTAAGATAAAGGCAGTACTAACAGCCAAACATTTGGCTTGTTGGTTTTGAGCCCTTTCCTCCACTTTCCTAACCCAATCATGTACATGCTGGCAGTTCATCAATCACCCATGAACACCCAACTCCTTATCTTCAATACCCTACCTCCTCCCCACAGACACACACCATGGTTTCAAGCCACAGGGATTGGCAGGGTTTTGCCTGTATTTGATTGGACATCCTCTTTCATTTGTCTTTACTACATACATTGTATAACATTTGTGACCCATTTTAGAAGTCCTGTTGTTTGATTTACTACAAACATGGATGACCTGTTTACAATGCCTGAATTAAACCTTACTTTCAATATTTGGATATTTCTCATTGATGTGCATGTTCACACATATATTGTACTTGTCCTGTAGTTGTGCAAACTATTAACCAGATGTGCGATAATACAACTGCTTCCTATTACCAGTACATGTACTCGTAGTGGTGGGATTTAAATTCAGCTTTTGGGTTTGAATTCCACTATTTGGTTTCCATAAATGGAAACCTGATATTCAAAACCGGTCTTCAAAAATTTAAACCTCCTTTTTTCAAACATTTCTGCATGAATGCTACATGTGCTTTCACCACTGTGAAGAGAACTAGCTGATAATGTTCATAACACAAAGGAAGTTTCCTTACAAATATAGCGATTGTAAGTACTAAGCAAATGAACAAATATGGACAGCAAGAACTTACACCATGAAACACGTTAACATACTTTTAACATACTTTTAACCTGACGATAAAAAGTGTAGGGTCAGGCTATAAAAGGAGGGTCGGTTGGCAAAACTGATTTTTTTTTTCTGCTTTATTAGAGGACCAAAGACACTGTGGGACAGTCTTAAGTCCCTACAACTTCAAATTTTCCTGAATAGAAAACTTCCCCACACTGTAGTCTCTGCTGAAATACACACACCCACACACGTTTGTTTTACATACAGTACCTAGTGTGGACATTCCTTTGTTTTCGTGTAGTTAAGAAAAACCAGTGAAAAAAAATCATTTTTCTCAAACTGTGAAAACTCATTCAACCCATTTCCCCCCCCCCCCTATGATTCCCTTTTGTGTTTCTCTTCATTTTGCCACCAATAAACCTAACCCAAAATGCCTCTTAATCTGTTTTCCCGAGAGGGGGAAACATTGTGTGGACGTGGGCAAGTCCACACAATGTGGCTACTACCTGGTTTATGTGGCCATCTTTTGTTCGGAAGTCCACACAGTGAATGTAATGCTTGTACACAATCTTGTTTCGTAGTTGTGGGGACCACACACTTAGAGCAATATTTATTATGGGGACCGCAGACTCTATGGGGACAGCAGAAAGTCCCCATAACTCGGTCCTAATGCCGACCAGGGCAGCAAAACAAATGTCAAGTGCACACAAATGACTTAATCTTATGACCAGGCAATGTAAATGTATCCACCAATAATACCACCCGATTTGGTACCTCAAATGCATTACTTATATGAAACATTTTATCAACGTTTTCTGTAATCTTTGGAAACTTTCTCTTCACTCAGTTCCACTATTAAAACAAAATCCCTTCTTGCAAGAAAGCAACGACAACATACAATGTATGATAGAAGCATTCAACAGTTTGAGACTTTGTTTAGACAAGGCTCAGTCATGTACGCTTGCACTGAATCCACCTGTCATGATCAATTTCTCTGGTGCCTATTGCAGCTCCCTCTCCAAGATTGCCAGGCTGGCTTCCCTTTTTACCCCACTCTATACTAAAACTGATCAGGTGGCAGAGAAGGGAAATAGGCACAAGATAGAGAACATGCCGTAGGACTTGATGAAAGGCAAAGGAGCGGATACTTACAGTGATTAGTCTTCTAGGCTTACAACACAGGAAACTGATGGTTTATCCATGACATTAAAGTTTAGCAAAGGCAAAGAGTAGGACCCTTTTGAGTACATGTGCATGTACCTGTTGTCTGTAAACCATCTGTTGCGACAGTTGTTTTTACATGAGAATTTGGAAGTTGCAAATGACAGGTCTCAATGTACTTTTTAGGACAATGTTCACTTGTACGACTTGATAATCTCTCACGCGTGCAGTCTGTATATATATATATTCAATAAGCTAAATACATTTGTGCGTGGGAACCTACACTATTAAAATGGTTGAATAATTTCCACATTATTGAAATAAATGTGTATCCCTACAATCCCACGGACTCTATGCAGAAACTGTACATGGCACCGTGTGGCCATGGAGGTTACATGTACAATGTATGTACTAGTTTGGCCCACTTATGAGAGCACATCAAGTGCTTCACGTATAAGTGTATTGGTTCACATGATCGGTTCTAAGGAGTGCATGACACAAATTAAAATATGCATTAACCCATATGAATAAGCATGGGCAACAGGTATTTTGGAGATGTATTAAGACCAAAAAGGGACAGGTTTGATACTGGTACCTCAGGTAAAATCAATGGGCCCATATTGAGAGATGGAAACGTATTGTCTCTAGAGCAAGACAGGGACAGTAAGATCCCAAGATTAATCTACTGGGACATCTCATCAGCTGCCAGATCAGGACCGAGACTAAGAACTGATGACTGGTCACACACCAGAATAGCACAAACGTCTAGAATTGATTGAACTTGGACTGAAGTGCTTTGTCATTCTGTAGCCTATCTGTATGGTGTTTTTCTCCTATGGGACCACTGGTTTTGTTTAAGGATCAAGCGAATCCTTCAAGTTGATTGAGATTGTCTGCTGTCAGACTGGTGCATTGGTTAGTGACAGGTGTTGTCATGTCAGATTAGTGAGCTAGTCCTGACATCCTGTCTGACAATCTACACATGGCAGATACCCTAGGCAAGGGATTCCCCGACATCAAACGTAATTTCTTAGACATGTATCATATTTGCTCTAGTCAACAATATCTGAAAGACAAATCTTTCTTTGAGGACCAAAAACGTGATATTTGAAGGGTTTTTTAGATGGTCATGACAAATCAAAAGGCATGTGTTTCCTTAGCAGAGTACTTGCTACATGTATGTCAGTTAATAATGTTGACACAAGGAACATACATCTGTACATGCACTACATTTAAATGTATTTAACGTGCAAAAAGCATGACTTTATACATGTAACTGATGTAGATTCCTACTTAACATTCTTATTAATTGAACAGTTGAACCGTTTTGGTTTCAAATGCTTTTGACCATGTTATGACGGTATTACAAAGTGACGCATAAATCTCACTGGACTTTGTCACTGTCTTGTCTTCAATAAAAACTGCTAGATGTACTACCGGTAGTACATCCAGAAAAAAAGTATGCTTTGTCATAAATGTCAAGGCTAAATTATATCCAACAATATCACGCAGACATCAGACATAATAAAGACGTGGGAGTTGATTGCTTTTATATGAGTAAGCCAGCCTATGAATATACTGCTTTACTTGCTGTAATCTAAAACAAAATCATTAAAATAAACCCAAATCTGATGCTTTAAAAACTGAAAAGACTTTGTCTTTGCACCCTGCTGTAGCAACCTTGTTTTAAGATTGCATGTTGCACGAATCAGGTTTTCCCATCAGGAAAAGGGACACAGCTCTATTCTTCACTGCATTTACATCAAGTGTAAATGAAGTGGTTTAAAGTGTTGATGTAATGTTACGCCGTATGAAAAATAACGTGGGTGGTTTTAAAGCATTGTTTTAAACACTGGCTGAGAAGCGTTTCAACAGGCCAGTAATAATGTTGGCCCCTGAATCAGGACAACAAATTTCTGCTTTCGTCTTTGTATTTAATAACGAAGGAGCATAATTCATTCTTCAATTTTGTGATCTTGGAGTTTAAGAAACATTTGTTTTTGATAAAGCAATTTATTTTATTACATTTTTATTTAATTTGTTTTTATTAAATGTAGAAACAAAACATAGCTTACATACGAGTCCAATGCTTAAAATTTACAGTAAAAATATTGACTGCTCTCTCTCTCTCACATCACATGTGCATGTACATCGGACAGCATGCTGCAGCTACCTCTACACGTATTCCAGGTTTATATAACCAACATACAGATCCTTGTCATTTGATTGGTGGAACTCACATCACGTGATAATGTTCCTCCCACTTCACTCTGAGCCACTCAATATTTGTATTATATTGTACATGCACTACAGGAAATCACAAATACAAACACACATACACAGGCTTATTATTACCAGCCTAAACACTGCGTTGCTCCGGCCTAGTGAAAACCGTGCAGAATATGCCATCAGCCTGGGGGTTTGGTCAGTATCAAATCAGGGCATGAATGATTATAGTGCGCATGCACAAGGTATACCGCCCCTAGAGTGGTAACAAGCATTTTGATGGACATTTGGAGAAAAAAAGCTGCCAGCGCTGCAATGCTATCACATATTTTCAAACTCTGGAGGTGTATATGTTGCCAAAAATTGCTACAACGATTATTCCCCTCATTTAATATCAGTGGCAAACATTTTGGACTGAGGCTGATGGGCTAGAACAACCTTGCTCCAAAACTCCAGTGTATTACTGAACTGTACTTACCATGCACAGTTGGTACGAGTAGGCACTATGTATGAACATGTGACACTTTTCTACGATTCTGTACTTAGGTTACACACAAAAGGACTATGCACTGGATGGTTTGCTAAACTTATAAGTTATAGCATCAAGATAAAAAAGTAAAAAATTGGCTGGTTCTGTTTAATATTTTTACCCAAAAATAAAATAAAGATAAGAAAGTAAGATGTTTCTTTCAGGGTGTCATTTTGTCTTTGTGGTGGGAAACAGCAATCACATGACCACATCATAGAAATGTCCCGCATATGGATAGCAATACAACGTAAAATAGTCTAACAATATTGTCAAGTTTTGCAGTTTTTGACCAAAATCGTATTTATGAAAGGGAAGTCATGATAGGGGCCTGGTCAATATAAAAGACCAGGCCACTAACAGGTTTTAAACCAGACGTTTAAAACTGATCTACCGCACTATTATTTCCTTTTTTTCTGTTAGTTCATTATCCCATTTCCTACTTTTGTCTTTCCAGTTTGTGCATAACATGGATGATATTTGACCCATATTTGCTATTTAATCGTTTAGCAGTCAAGAACGTTGACCATTTGAATGTACCTGTGCTTGAGTGGTATCAGGGTGTCTCTGACGTGTGGTATGGCAAGGTATGGTGACAAGCTCTTGTCTTTACTGCAGGCCTTGTGGTGACTTGCCAGCATCTCTGCCAAAATATCAGCATCAATAGAAAACACTACATTTTTTTCCGAACTTTCAAAATCACATTATTATACAATTGACATTTACACGTAAACTATACCAAAATATTTAATTTATTCAAGCTATATGGAACCTTTAAGAATATTTGATAGTCAGAGAACTTTTTTACAGATACTATCTATCAGATGTGGATGTATTTGGAAAGAAAACATCAATTGGTCCAACAATATGGGCCATATGCCAAGCTGCAGTGCTATTGAAAGTGAAAGTGACAAAGAGGCTGCTTAAGAATTTAAAATGTGGAACCAAAGAAATCTATATTTTCTTCTATTATCATCATCATGCACTGAATGGTGGGATATTTGGGCCTGAATTGTGAACTGTTTTCTTCTTGTACTTTTCAGCCATGATAAACAGCATGAGGACCAGCCCAATAGGAAGGGGCTGTCTGGGCTGGGCTTCCACAACATTCCTGTACAGGAAGTGCTTAAGGGAGGTCTTTGTGGTCCCACCAAATAGGGCAGACACTTCTCAATTAACAACACATACATGTATTGTGCAGTACACGTACCATGTTCAACACAGGTGCCATACAATTTGTAAATACACATGTACTTTTCATGCAAAAATTTACGAAACCATGGAAGAAAAAATAAAAAATAAATCTAACTTCAGGAAAAACCCCAACAATTTTAATATTCTTCTAGTAATTAAGAACACATGAAAGTATATTATTTTTTGATGGAAGTGTGGAATGCAAATTGGAAAACAAAAAAAGGAAAGGCAACTAATGTACACGTATAAATGGTGAATTGGGTTAGATAATTGCAACATAAAAGAAGTTAAATAAATAAAAGTAAAACACTGGACAACCAACCCTTCACAGGACATCAGAATATATAAGCAGCAAATCATGCTAATTGTTCATCCCTTCCTCTACCCTTCAAGAAACAGAAGGCAATAGTGGATATGTGCAAGGCAAGTACTAACCTGTGATGGCATCTACTAGCTGATGAACCTGCCTCTTGTCCTCCTTCTCTCGTCTGATTCTATACATAATGTACTTGTACAACAACAACAGACACAGCACCACTGTACACATAAACACAACAAAACAACAATTCGGATAAATTCAGTATTTATGAAATCTGTCTGGTTTTTTTTATAGCAACTTGAGTGAACCATGAACAAAGTATTGATGGATCGTCAGGTGCAGTGTTGTAACCAAGCCATATCTTTTACAAGTCAAGTCAAGTCACAAGTCAAAGTTTCACCAGCCAAGTCCCAAAATCTTTCATCAATTTCATCAAAATCTTTCATCAATTTTCAAGTTCATCTGAACATACCGGTATTACATGTATGTTATAATTCACATGACACCTGTATTCTTAAGTCGACAGCAGTAGCGACAGGAACCAGTCTACGTGTAGGTGTGCGCAATGGGGTTTATTAAGCGTGCATCATGTAGGGAGAATTTAAAAATAAATTCAAGTCAAGTTGCAAGTGATTTTTTTTTTCAAATCAGGTCAAGTCACAACTAATGTTTTTAAATCTGAGTCAGAGTCCGACTCAGCCACTCGAATCAACAACTCTGGTCAGATGAGGCCCACAGAGTCCTAGAAAATGGGACTCGAGTAAGACTTGAGTATGAGTCTGAGTCATGAGTCATACAACTCTGACAAAAGGCAACCACTACCTTTTTTTTCTGGGATCTTTCTTACCAATACAAAACAGAAACAGTCTGAAGAGAACCAAGACGGCTGAGCGTTGGACCCTACACAGCCATGACATGTTGACATGTTCTGATTCTAACCATACAGTCTGCTTCTCCAACTTCACAGCATCTACAACCTGGTCAGCAGAATCTGCCACATGTAGTTCCTTACCACTCTCATCATATAGCCTGCAAATCAAATAGCATTCACTCAGTTTCAAACGTCTGCAAGTGATACGACTTGGGGATGAAAGCTGGATTGGAACATGAAACTTTTATGGAGAGCAATTGCATGATAGTGTGAAGCTCTGATTTCATGTCAAGTAACAGTGTTATACTCAAAAAGTTCTCCAATGTATTTACATGTATTCTAATCTGCATTCCACATTTATTCCAAGCAGTTTTAACTCTTTGAGAAGTATGCCAATATCCCTTCACCCTGATGCCAGAGCCAAACCATTGAAACAAACCAAAATTTGCCAAACAAAGCACTTCTGAACCGTACCAAACTCAATTGCTCAATTTGGCATGCTCGGAAACGTAGTTTTAGTGCCTTATATTTATATTTGCCTAACCAAAATAAAAAACTTGGCACCATAAAATTATCATAATTATATTCTAATAATGCCAAATATTTTTTTTGTATTTACTTAGATTGTAGATTTCCGAGGTTTCCGAGGATAAAAATAATTAAAAATTCAAGCATGTGGGGGCGCCCTTTTCAACGCACCCATAACGGTGCTCTCAGTATTCTGACCTGGTATACAGACCCAAAAGTACTCTTACAAAATGTTGTCATTCAATTTTACTGCACTCAACTTATCAACATTTTCCCATTAAAATTATAAAGTAACAATGATATTGAGCTGAAAAAAGAGGCAAATTTTCAGTCTGTACTGCTTGCACCGCATGGTGGAATAAGCGAGCAGTTAACAGCATAAAATGCCGTGTTGAATGGCCAGTTGCCAGATCAAGTGCATACATTGTACATGCAACCCACCATCTATATATATAAGAGAGAGTTTAACTCGGCCTCCGAGACGATGTTTGCTCATGAAAGGATCCGAGACCGCGGGCTCCCGCTGCGCCAAAATCGCTCCACGTCCGTGGAAAAATACGGAGGGTGTCTTCCGCCGGGTCGGACACTTCGGGTCGTCCTGATTTTCCCGTACGGACCGGCGATCCTTTTCGTCGATTTTTCGTGACTGCATTTTGCGCAGGAATTTGCCGTCGTGTGCGCTTTCACGTTGACTGCCTGGCCGCCCCCTGTGCTGGCTTTTCTGCGAGTCTAGACTGTGCGAGGTCAGCGAGGTCAACGTAGGGGTTTCGTTTACGTGTTCTACTCAGCTGTTCTGCAAAAGCGTTCCCCAAATTGTGGTGTGGGGTGACCTTGGTAAAATATTTTTTCTCCATGGTGCGTGGCCACCGAGTGCCCCTATTCTTTCATATGCTTCGCTTGCCGCCCCTGCGCCGAGTGCAACGAATACTCAGAAGGACTTCACATTAAGTATGCCTTGCGCGGTCTGACCAATCGAAAGTCTACACTGCGTAGTATTTCCGGGCTATCCAAAACTGTCGATGGCAACGCGTACTGCAGCCTGCTCCACACCCTGGAAACGAGGTTGGGTCTATGGTGCTCGCTATTTGCATGATTTGAAGCACAAGCATGTGAGTGACGTGTATAGTGCTCTGTTGCTTCCATCGTGTGTTAATACAGCTCCATGCTTCCACGCCACCAAGGCTGAGCGTTGTGAGTTCGCTGCCCGCCACAGTGTTGCGTTATAATTTCGGGGGCCTGTCTGGGATCAACGAAGGATCGATGCATTGCTTCAAACATCGCGATCTTAAACGCAGTCACACAAAAAATCAACGAAAATGTGTCCGATCCGGCGGAAGACACCCTCCACATTTTTCCACGGACGTGAAGCGATTTTGGCGTCGCGAAAGACCGCGGTCTCAGATCGTTTCAGGAGCAAACATTTCTCGGAGGCCGAGTAAAATTTGCTCTTATAAAGATGGTTGACCCAAGTTGAATAACAGTTGACTCGACAAGTTCCTCGCAGACAGTCTCGCAAATTGTAAGACGTTCAAGTTTCGTTTGTTGAAGAGTCCAATATACTGAAACTTAATTATGACCTTCTTAATCAGCCTTCGCCTGTGTACTACGGCAAGCCTTTCAACTACGTTTTCTCACAAATGCCACTGCCTCACAAAATGCCAATTTAACAGACCAACGGGAACATTTACAGACTGTTGCCATGGTACATAATTATCATGGGCGTCAATCGGTGGGGGACGGGGAACCCCTCCACCCCCCCCCCCCCCCATTTTAAAGCGGTGGAGACTTTTTGGGTCCCCTCCCCCCCCCCCCCCACTTTTCTTCCCCGAATAAAAATTGTAGCTACTACATGTATAATGATTCTATTACTCAGAATAGCTCATTTTAAGGACACCAAACTCAAAAATGATGTTTAAAAGATGATCTTTTGCTAAAAAAAATTGTTTTAGTGGTCAGAAATTGCCTCAGATCGCACCACAGAAATTGCTTTTCTATAACTGCACGTCTTCTCAACTAAATCCCCCAATTACATTCATCTCCCCAAATTTTCATCCCCAACTCTACGCCCTACCCGATAGTATGATCGGGTAAATCAACGAGGGATCGATGCATTGCTTCAAATATTGTGATCTTTGAACTATGTTGGGTTGGAATAACGAAGAGTGCATAAATAATAATATTGGCGGTTGTTGGCTGTTTGGCCTTGCTTATATTATGGTTGAACCATGCCAACCTGAATAAAATAGTTAAATCGACTTTTTCCTCGCAGGTCTCGCAAATTGTAAGAAGTTCAAGTTTACGTTTGTTGGAGAGTCCAATACTGTACCTTCATAATGACCTTCCTCCATGATTCAGACTATGTAATTTTATGGTAACACACTCAACATTTTTATTGCAAATGCCACCTTCACGTTTTATTCCATTATGATTTATTGTCAAAACAGTACAATCAGCCTTCGCCTGTGTACTATACGGTAAGTCTTTCAACTCAGTTTTCCCACATTAACAAACGCGACTGCCTCACAAAATGCAATTTAACAGACCAACAGGAAAATTGACAGACAGTTATACATGTCATGGTACATAATTATCATGGGCGCAGCGTCAATCGGTGGTGGATGGGGGACCCCCACCCCAACATTTTAAAGCGGGCAATATCGTTTGGTTCCCTACCCCCACTTTTTCTTCCCCGAATAAAAATTGTTGCCTACTATAATATTCTTTTGCTCAGAACAGCTGATTCAATGACTCCAAACTCGAAAATGATGTTTAAAAGATGATCTTTTGTTTTACTATCGTACGTGGTCAGAAATTGCCTCAGATCGCGTCACCGTAAATTGCTTTTCTATAGCTACATGTCTTCTCAACTAAATCCCCCATTTACATTTAACTCCCCACACTTTCAACCCCAACACAAATACGCCCTACCCGATCTATGATCGGGTAAATCAGCTTGTTCTATAATAAATGCGAACATTAAAACTACAAAATAATGTAAAAAAAAAAAAAGTGTACACAAGGAAGGAGAAATCAAGTTCTCAGACTGGGCAACAAACTTGAATTTTTAAATCGTTCCAAACGATGTTTGCATGGTATTTCGTCTTAAATATTTTGATACCAAAGATGGAAAGCATGTGTGCATTGATTGGTGGATGACATTGGCAGCCTGGCCGGTAGCGCAGCTGGATTCCTTCTGTTCCGCTAGCATTCTGCCTAGCATATTTTTGGTGGCATGAACAAGTATACCTAGTGCACTGCGCTGCACAAAAACGTAGCACATACGATCGAGCAACGAGCGGGTAGCAAGGTGTATGTACGTACGATTATCCATTTCTATCTTTTCAGCTCTATGCCGAGACTGTGTGTTCAAAAGCTTCTGTTGACTAATCAGAAGGCGATATTTTTTTTCTTGGGGGAGGGGGGATAGGTCATCAAAGGTGACATTTTTTCGGCAGTTGTTTTTGTGAAATTTTTAAAATCCACCTTTTTTCAGCCGCAATTCTGTAATCCAAGTTATTTTAAAAAATGGCCTAAAAAAAAAACCTTTGAGGTTGAAAGTACCTTATTAAATGAAAGGAATTTATAGTCATATATTTCAGTCCTTACAATGGCAACACAATCTATATTCCAAGCTGCACTGTGTCACTGTGCGTGGTAGACGTGGTGTGGTAGAGCGACCAAGTGCATGCACTGAACTGAACCACTGAGGGCTGACTTGCAGTACCCTCAGACTTACCTCAGACCCCAGTGAGAATTGTTGATTATCTTCTGTAGGGCATTCTTCAGATGGTATGATAACCAGTCCTTTTTGGCATCAATATCCTCTTTCTGCAAAGGAAACAGATTTCAGAGCTTAGCAGGACTTTCTAAAATCTGAAATCAAAAACCCAAACTGTTAAGCTACTAGCATGTAAAGCTAGGTTTGTGTGGTTTTGGATTTTGAGAGACCCGTACATCACAGTATTTGGTATTATCAGGTAGTTCTTTGGGCAGACTATCATGTAATCAAAACAAACTAACACACATTGTGCTAGGGAAACTGCAAATGGACAGCATGGGCAGAACTTCAACAGCCCTGCTGGATGACTAGTAATCACAATGTTCACCTTATCTGGACACTGTGACCACAAGGAATTTAAATAATTATCCATACTGCAGATCTGACCAAGATGTTTCTGTCACCTTTAATTTTAAAGGGCATTTATACACATCTGGCCACATTTCAGAGGGAAAATGGCAGTAATGAAATTCCATACCAAGGCATCGTTTTTTGGAATATCGACAACATCATTTAGTATTGTTCTGTATCAAAAAAAATATTGTTACTAAATGGTGTTATTTAACGGTATAGTCCATCGTTTCTTATTTGTGCATTTTGCTTGTTTGAAGCAACAAACTTGCTCAAAATCTAAAGAAGGGTGCTGAACAACTAACTTGATGAAGTTTCAGCTCAGCTTCAGCTGTATATTTCGAGAAAAACAGCATTCTAGGATCTCGATTTCAAATCAAAAGTTGCTGAATCATGTTTTGAATTGGGCCTGAATTCAGCATCCGAGACACGTTCTTAATGAGCCGATTGCAGTTACGCGATGTCGCCCAATGATCCAACGAATTATAGCAACCGCGCGCGCAAGTGCGTCGTGTCAAGGCTTGCGCGCGCTTCGCCGAATAAAAAACACGAACTACTAACAGAAATTTCCACCGGTGCGTCTTAACACGCACCATTGGAAAGGCCTTCTTTCGTTGATGTCTTCAAAATGACAACTTGCCGCTTTCATAGGGAGTTTAGTCGCCTTACTTTCATTCAACCAAGTATGTTTTTCAACAATAATTACGTCAGTTACTTTTTGGATAGCTGCAAATGATGGACTGTAGCTTTAAGTATATTGTGAACAACTCACAATGAGGTAGATTTACGATTAAGTACATATTGTGAAGAATTCATTGTGGTCTGATCTTTCTCCATTGTATTAAAATCGTCCAGAGAAAACAATCAATACTAAACAATAGCAAAAGACCAAGGGTTTTATTCCCCCATGCATGAAATGTTATGTATCACACAGGCTGGTATTTAGAGTTTAATCTAAACACCTTTGGAAACAACTACAAATATTGACTTACAAATTCATACTTCAGGAAAGCCTGCACCTCTGCAAATGACATGTTTCTGCTTGTGACATCTTGTGATCCACACTCGTATTTTCCTGTAATTTATAAACATGAATGAGTAATAGTTTAATGGGTGTGGGACTCTGTGGTTAGAATTACAGTATAGTCTGGCAAGTTTACATTCACTGTTTACAATGTGCAATGTACGTGGATATCTTGGTACCAACAAAGAGTAGTCTAGTCACAGGCTCCTGTGTTAGTCTTTACCCAGTACAATATTGTAATCTGCAAAATATGTAGAAGTCATGTATTCTGCAAAATCTTGCTGGCTTTAAGGTCAACTTGCACATGTTATGGGCTCTCTGCATTAAAGGGAATATACAACATTTGCAAACATCGAAAAATAAAACTACCAAGTTTTTGGGAAATACCTTAATAGGATGTTGGTAAATGACAGTCTAAAGCATCCTGTAAAATTATGGCACCTGGTATACTGTCATTTTCAAGAAAAGTGTTATTTTTGTATCAATTTCCAACGCTGATCGGCCGATCAGCGTTGGAAACAACTGGCTTTTTTTTCAAATACTGGCACCAATTGACCATCGCACTTGTTTACAATCAATTACAAACCTATGAACGGGTACGAGCCAGCTAGACTGGTTCCCTAACCTTACAATTCCCCAATGTATGTAAACTGCTCTGTTTCTTCTTATATGGAGTCAGGGAACCAGACTACAGGAAAATGATCGTTTTTCTTGGTTTTTATAGCATTTTCGAACCCAAAACCTCCAAAAAGTCAGTGTAACTATATTTGCTTTATATTTCCAACCCCCCAATTCCAACCATTTCTGAAAATTACAGCAAAAGCAAATGATGTATATTCCCTTTAACAGTATAATACATGTAGTACATGACCACATTGAGAGCCTTGGATGGGAGGTACACACAGTGTGCATGTACATGTACTGGTCTGCTTATGTATGCCATAAAGTAGACATGACTTATTTTATCATGAATGTGCATAAAACCATGATGTCTTCGTGTGAGCATTAAGTGTCGTAAGCGATGTATTAAAATGTCCCTCCAAGTGGTCTTTCTCTTTGTACATTACATCAAGGTTGAACCTGACTAGGGTGCAACTTGCATTTTTTTAATTGCCTTGTACTAGAAACAGAAATGGGATTTGTCAAAATGGCAATTTGCAATTGTGTGCGGTTCTAACCAAACATGCACACAACGCATGTGCAGTGGACCGTTGTGATCCCTACACTTAGGAATGACTACTCCAAAGGACTATTTTGAAAGCAATTGATTACGGGGTTCAATGGCATAAAGTGCTTTCCAAGAGCATATAACTTTAACATAAATTTACATACATGTACTCATGCATGTAGCTCATCTTGAAATCATGCAATGTCTTTAAAAGCTGAAATAATTATACATGTAGAGTGATGGCAGAACTCTAGGTAAAGAAACTATGTGGAAAAAAATACATGAACAAAAACAAGGATAAAGGAGAGTACAATAGCCACTGACCTGCTACCTCCGATAACTTGTCATACAAAGACTGCACGATCCTCATAGCCTGAACATGCCGAGTTTCTTCTGATGGGAACTGGAAAAAGAAAGAAACAACAACATATTATATTAAATTATCTTAATAGTTTCATGACAAGTCAGCACAATGTTTAAGATGACACATGAACACAGGTTGACACATGTGAAAGAACAAAGCAGATTGGCAGACATACACTTAACTGTACACACAGCATTAGACCACTGACTTGTGTATACATCTACGTACATTTTATGGTAAAGAAAAAAAATTCTTCTTACATCACTTTTTGTTGACAGCCCAACTTTGCCTGTAATGGCATAAACCTAAGGGTTACAATGTTACTATGTATGTCTCAAATTTGAGGCATGGCTGCATGTTAAAATATCTTGGTAAAAGAACACCGCTTTTCTCTTACACTCAGAGATGAAACTGGCATATGGCAAAACAAATCGGAAAATAGGCCGAACAAAAATATGTGTCCAAAATCTGGGCCGCGACACACATGTATGCATGTACATGTACTTCATGCCAAATATCAGTGTTATGGCCTGTGTTTCTACCGTTGAAACACTCCAATAACGACTGGTGAAAGAGATTAAAACTACGTTCGTGATGATTTTGATGTGCTATGTCCATCGACTTTCCATCAACTTTTCTTCTAAATTATGATTGAAATAAAATGACATTTTGTGAAAAAATTGTTACAAAATCAAATTTTGTGGGACACATAGTAAGAAAATCAGAAATTTCGTTGGAAAATTCAAAAAGTCTGATTTTCGATTAAATCAAAAAGTTTCATCTCTGTACACTCACTGAAATGGATGAACTTCACTTCAAAACATATGCCTCAGAATGAACTTGTAAAGGCAGAGGCTGTACATGTACGTGTGTATGTACAGGGTGTCTCCCAAAAATGTAGCAGTCAAACAACATTTTTACTATTATAAGATGGAATTAATTTGATTAATATTTTTATTCATGAGGAAACTTTTGTAAAAAACTTACCATGAGATAATAATACAGTCCTCCTGATTTGAGGCGTGCGATCACACCCCAACACCATCGCACACCTAAAAGCTTCCCGAGAAGTGTGAATAATTGCACGCCTGAATTTCCCTGGACCACAGATCACACACCTAAAAACCACACACCTAGAAAAAACACACACCTAGAAAAATCCAGGTGTGCCTTTTTCCACACGCCTGTGATTTTCAAATCAGAAGGACTGATAATAATAATATTTAATAATAATAATAATAATAATAATAATAATGTACATGTGTACATGTACATGTAGCACCCTATAAAGGTTTACAAGGTACTGCGGCGCATATTGCAGCCACTGCCAGAAACACTAGGGCAAACCCCTTCTCTTAGCGGTAAGTGTTACTGGGTTCTTTAACGTGCATTACACAACACACAGGACCAACGGCTTTACGTCCCATACGAAGAACGAAGCAATAATGGTAAATTGCCTTGCTCAAGAGCACAAGCACCATGTTCCCACGGTCACAAGAGTCGAACACCTTAACCATTGGACCACAGCACCCCAGATGATATAGTGTTTCTTTACCTTCTTTACACTTGACAGAATTTTTGTTCTGTGTGATTTGGACATTTTGTTAAAAAGTTACGGAAAATCTTGTAAAGACCGTCAAAATCTGTTTAGGCCACTTTCTTCACCTTCTTGGTTAGTTTTGGCCCAAGACTGGATTTGGATTATGTTCATCTAGCGGTACCTGCAGACGGTTTCTAGCTACATGTACTGGTACAATGTCCATGTAGCTGTAGCACGCGATGCATGGCGCTGGCAAGCTCACCCAAAAGACATTAATGCTATCAACAACACAAACCAAAATCCATTCTTGGTAAATCGGGCAAGCCGCCCCAAACAAATCTGAGTTCTGAGTCTCTGGACTGGGGTGTCCAAATGAGATGGGATAAAGACCATTGTGTAGAGTATTAACATACCTTCAGACTCTACAGATACAATGTAAGTTTTGCAAAAAGAGAGTGCTAGTATTTTTAATAGTTATGGATTTACTGCTACATTTTTTTAGACGCCCTGTACAAAGCGTACAGGTAAGTAGTTAGATGTGCTTTGCCCTTAAATTAACAAGGATACAGTGTCCACCTATACATGAGCTGAATAATAAGTCTTACCAGATTCGTGTCACTTCTGCTATTGTCACTGATGTACTTTATATCTGTAAAAAGCAGAAAAATAATATGAGATTTAATGATCTGTTCTTGAAATTTTGTGACCAGGTGGTTCACTGAACTAAGGTAAACAAATTATTAAACATTAACCAAGAAAGTTATAATTTGGAACTTAGCAGAAGATTTTGAAAGCAGAAGATTATAAAAGTACAAATGTTAAAAGCAGAAGATGCTAAAACACAAATGGGAGAAGTTAAAACACAAAATATGTAGCATACATGTACATGTTTGATACACATTAATGTGATAAATTTTCCAAAATCACCTTTAAATCTAATTTTCAATAAAACTACAAAGTACATGTAGGTTCATGTAGGTGAAGTGCATTGTACATCCCGGTATACCCTCAAAAATGCAGACAACTGGTATCATTAGCACACATGTATGATTGTATCATGTGTCCTTTCTCTATGATTGTACTGAGACTACATGTATACATGTACATCAATAGGCATTCAGAGCAGTATGCAGTACATGTATGCATGTACTCTGATCCCTATCTGCAATTGTACTGCAAACCACAGAGTGCCCAGAGGCAACTGAATGGGGGAAGGTGATGACAATGTGGTTTTGTGGCGTACCAATATTGAGGCACTCCACAAAACTCCCAAAGCAGATCTTTGCAAAAAATTGCTCCAACAAAATGAAATTCAGGATCAAATTCAGACTGTGTAGGAATACTAATCACAAGTATGAATAAATATTATGAGCCATTCAAAATTATCAATGTTTTTAAATTGTGGGTCTAGGAAAATAGTTATCACCTGTACCGTGTGCACGCAATCTGATTCGTTTTTTGTTTTTTTTCCAATCCCGTCCCCATTTTGTCTATGGAACATCCCCTTGCACAGGAAGGGGGTATTACACATGTACAAAAATGTATGTGTTCTGATAAGGCGATTAATTATGCAAAACAAGCCTGGTCTTGACCTCGAGATTCTGACCATTCAGCGGGCACCATCTATCGGGTGATTTGGGTCTTAACCCATTGTGGTATTACAAAAACATGACAGCCAAATTTACCAGAACACCATAGTCCACATTTCTGATCGCAATGACGTCACAATTTCTAAAGTCAACTCCAATTGGCTGACGCGCAGGGTCGCATACAATTTGCAATCATGCTCACACATAGCAGATGTTGGTTACGGGAGAGGGCCGGCTCTATTGGACTTCCGTAACCGGCTCTGTTGGACAATGAGTGATACTCAGACTCCAACGTTTTTGGGCTGTATCACAGTCTGGTGCCCGTATCTATAGACTAATCCCCAAATAGACTCAGACTTGGGGGGGAGGGCAGTTTGTAACATTATAAAACTTTACATAACCCTAACTCCCTAGGCGTTTTTGCTAGGATGTAACCAGTCCTGCAAAACATTCCAACTGCCGCCATGTAAAAATACCATACAAAATCATCTGTTATTTTTTTAATATGGTCCATGGAGGGGTGACCACTACCTCAATCCTGCAAAATCCTCCGACAATCACTGTCACTATTTTGAGGCAGAGCCAGTGACATCCTGGAGCAGTGCAGATGAAATCAAGTGCCAGTATACCGTAATTTCCTGCGGATAAGGCGCGCGGCGGATAAGGCGCAGGTCCCTAAAATCACCCCAAAAAAATTCAAACGCCAACAGATAAGACGCACCGCCGCATAAGACGCATGTTTGACCGCACACAGAAGAACACCAGGCGTCACCCGGTGTCGGTACATCGCCACAAAGGGGCCATTGTGTTGCCTTAGAACGATCACACTATTCGGAGGATGAATTAAGCCGTGTCCGCACTGGACTTTTTTTTTGGAAGGTTTTACCGAGACGATAGTAAAATGAGAAATGGTCAAATGTGACCACTGTCCGCACTTGGACTTTCGACACGGGAAAATTTACCCAGACCGCGTGGGAGAAGTAACCGAGCTGTCACAGTGTCAGTATAAATAATTACTCACCGTACACAGAAAACAAATTGCCGATCACATTTTCAGCCGCCGATACGCACAGTAATATTACACACGCCATTTGCATGCACAACATAATCGTTTACACGATATTATTTCATCTTGACACGCTAAATCTTGACGAAAAGGCCTGTAATTCTGACGCATTTGTGATGCACGTCGTCGAAGCCATGCCGCTGTACGATGTTCCGTGCGGCAGCAGTGCCATCAGTATTCGTTGGTTCCCATCGCATGCTTACAGAATCGAAGCTATGATGTGGGCCAGGAACCAGTGACTACGGCCTACGTACGGTACCGGACCATGATGTTCCGTGCATGACTACAGTAGCGTATCAGGACGAATTTGGATCGTAGAAAATAACATACATCGGTGGAGAAAGAGAATTTCCGCAAATTAATTCTCAGAACGTGATCTCTCTTCTCTGTGTATGTATTTGTCCGTTGAAATATATATTTTAACGAGATTTTACCGCTCGGACTTGATGATACACCGCAGCGTGTTTCTACAAAATGTTCGGCCACACGTGCACTGAGGTTCGTGCGGTCTCTGTATGCATAACATGGCGCTCGGGCCGGAAGTACGCTTTCCTGAGCCGCTTTTACCGACTCGCACTGTTTTCATCTTGATTTTCAGGCTTGCAGAAAAAACCAACCGCACACCTTTGAGCAACACCAAAACGCGGTGAATGGAGGAACCTTGTTGACTTCGGTTTCAAAATGATGCCGATTGTCATGTTGACATTAGTACTTCATATTATCTTAAGTCTAAAGCAGACTTCGCAGATATCCTCTACAATAAACACCCTCAACGTTCACACAATAGAACTTGAGTGAATGCGATTTCCAAACGTTTAAGTAATTCTGATTGCAGCATTTTCGGAATGAAAAAACGGCCACAAAGATTAACGTTTGTATGACGGCATTGTTGGAATGAAAGCACGATCACTAGGGGGATCAACGCATTGTGGCATTGTTGGAATGAAAGCACGATCATGGGGGATCAACACATCGCGGCATTGTTGGAATGAAAATACGGTCACAATGTCTGGAGAGTTGAGCCTCGGTTGACCGCATTATTGATTGCGGCATTGAAAGAATTCTTCACACAAAGACCGTCACTTTGAACTCAAGCGACACCAGATAAGGCGCACCTGTAGATAAGGCGCAGCGATGTTTTTGTGGTCTAGAAAGTCAGATAAGACGCGTCTTATCCGCAGGAAATTACGGTAATCTAGGCCGAAATTTATGCACAGCTGAGCATAAAAACACAAGGTCCAACCTACATTGTAAGACCTTGACAGTGCATCCTCCAAAATCAGCTGCACCTATGTGCCCTATAGCCTCAATCCTGCAAAATCTTCCATCTTGCATATATTTTGGAGGATTTTTAAGGGAAGGTTAGGGTTTAGCAGGTGCAGTCTCAGATATGTCAAACAATACTTTACATGTTCGTAATAAACGTTCATATGTAAAGTGTACACCTCCCAACAAAACACACGTGTACGTGTAATGTGTGTACACGTACAATGTACATGCGTAGACACATGTACATGTTCACATGTGAGAATATGCTCGTTAATAGTAAGGATGTTGGGCCAAGCCAGGAAAGCCTACAGACTAGCTTATCCTGACTTACAGACCTGCTCACATGTTACTATTAATACAAGCATCTAGGCATCATGATCAACTGGAAATGATAAACATATGGCTGGTTCAAACCCTCTGCATTCCAAAGTAGGGTGCCAGCCAGTTCATGCTATACTGTGAATGTATACTGTATGAGTGCATTTAACACGTGTGTATGTGCGTGTACATGATACAGTATACACAAGCCCAGGTTGGACGAAGTCTTCATTGCATTACGACTGACGTCCAGGATGAGAATTCTCTACATAAGACCACCCAAAATTTGGACCAGATTTTTGTTACGTTTTACCTCGTTACAGAAGCTTATTTCACGCCTACATTTTCTATGTGTCCTTCTCTATTGATCCAGGGGTTCAGGAATTCCATATGTGATGCTGACCGACATTAATCAGGAAATAAACTCTAAAGCAACGTTAAACTTGTACGTGTTTGTAGTCTCTTTTCATCAGTTTTATTCCCGAGTCGTACGTCATGTACGTGCGCACGAAAGCGCGCACGCACGCTAGTGCCCTCATTTGTTTAGTTTTGGTTGGAACAGTGACGTCACTCCAGCCGACTGACGTCACGAAAACGCTCAACCAATGACCAAAGCCGAAACATGTTTCTGGTAACTGGCGCAAAAACACGCTCGGTCATGGGATTAGCGACCGCGCCTTCAAGTAAGTGCGCGTGCGTATGAGGGTGGTTACTAAGCAAATCTCGCGTGCGCACTGCATATTCACGCTGCATAGTCTGGCTCCCAGACCAGACGTGATATGAGCGCCGAGAATAATTGTCATGTCTAGGGAACCAGACTACACGCTGCACGGACGTACGTCATGTACGACTAGAATAGACTCTGCGGTGAGAAACTGATGAAAAGAGTCTACAAACACGTACAAGTTTAACGTTGCTTTAGAGTTGCTTTAAAAATTGGCTACAAGGTAAAAATATTGAAATTATCGGTCATACATTTTTTCGCCCGGTTTTGAGCACTTAATACCCTGGACTCCCTCCGTAATGTAGGGGGGAAAGGGAGTCCACCTGGGCTACAGTATACACATACATGACAAAAACGTGAAATATTATTTGCTGAATTGTGAGGACGTTGGTGACACGGTTATAATTGGAAACACCTAAGACACAACAGAAATCAAGCCAGGCAAAATGAATTGAACATACATTTTTTTACATTTACATTAGAAATTCGCAATTATACATGGTATACATGCACGTGTACATTTATTATTCCCAGTTACACCTGATGAACGTCCAGCACGAAGGACAATTATTCCCTATGTTTGTTTCAATGTGTCCGTTTTCCATTTCAAGAAATCGTGTTTCAATTGTAAAATTGTGTTTTAAAAAAGCATCATCACATTTGTCATGTTGCTGATGTAAACTGAAAATGACTGAACAAGCTCACTGGTAATACAACTGCCACACAATTTCAACTATATAATCACAAAAGATGTAAAGTACAAGTAGTTACTATAATTGACATCACTATAGTCAATGTTATCTTTAGGAACTTTGAAAAAGTGTACATACACACGTAGCAAGCTAGGCAGTAGGCATACATGTAAGTACACGTGTATGTCAAACTTAAAATAGACTCAACAACAGATCCTTCATTACTGCAACGGGGCCCATTGATATCTTTCATCGATAACTTTGGCCAAGCTGGCCAATTGGCTGACATGACAGCTGTGAAATCCAGGAAGGAAGTTGATGGTGTGGACTTTCTTGAAGTACTAGTGGCATGACTTTCTCTCCTTTTGCAAGCGATGCTGAGTCAGAATGGATGCATGGAGTCTCCCCGACAAGAAAAACCTCCTGTGATTACCATTATTTTGGGGGTGATCAGGCTGATCCCCATCAATGTTTGACATTTTTCCAGCATGTTGGACATTAATTCTTCACAATGTTTTTTTACACATCCTTGAAACTACAGACAAACATCACCCCTGATCTTGAGCTGTGCAAACAATGTATTACTGTGACATCACGATGATATCATCAGGTTCACTGTCTCAAACTGCTAAGGACGAGATACCCATTTACTTTGTTAAAAATGTAGCTTAACCAGAATCACAGCACTTTTCTGGCCTAATCTCATAGACCACATCTTGGTAAACATCTTTGACTCCCGAAGGTAAAGTTTGCCTGACCTTTACTTTCTGGGTTTACCATAGATCAAAGTTTTATAGGTGAATTTAAAATGCAAACAGACGCTTAAATCCAAAATTAAATCACGTTCTTCCAAACAGTTCACAGGATGTAACTGGTACACATGTGAACCATGAGTCCCAGATGTACACCTTGTTCCAACATCAACCAATAATCAGATATCAATTTTCAGGACAAAAATCGACAAAATACTTTCAACTGTAAGCATAAATAGTGTATCTGAATTCACTTTTGTACATGTATAAACCACACTACCTAAACAAGGAAACTGTGAGAATCACTTGGCTCCATGAGGCTCTACAAATGTACGTCTGGTCTCCTCAAACATGTATGATAAATGCAGTTCAGCTATTGTACATGCGTCTAGCAGACAGCCTTGATGCGATGATTGTGGCTGGAACTTTACTGGTCAGGTTTAAAAATGGTCACTCTAGGGGTGGGAGGGGTCTGTGGGAGGGGTCCGTGTTTTGCCAATGACACATGTACATGTACATGTACTGCAGATTCAGATTGTGTTGGAAAGGAGTACTGAAGTAAAGTCATCCTTTCCTGGCAGATCTTAGGAGTTGGTCCTCACATGCAGTGCATGCCTTAGAAAACTCTCTCTTCACTATGTGTATGTATTAGAGAGCAAAAATATGAATGTGACATATCAACATTGATGAGGTTGTCTCTACACTCACTCAGAATCAAAACATTATAAGTCAAATAAGCCACCCACAATGCTGATGCACCCCACCAAACAAGAAATCTTCAGCCGAAATGTACATGTACATTGTAGTGTATTAGCCCAGGTGGACTCCCTTTCCTCCCTACGTTACGGAGGGAGTCCAGGGTATAAAGTGCTCAAAACCGGGGGAAAAATTTATGACCAATATTTTCAATATTTTTACTTTGTTGGAGAAGCCAATTTTTACGCCGTAGTATTCTATGTGTCCTTATCTATTGGGCCGCTGGGTTCAGGAATTCCATATGCGATGCTGACCGACCTTAATCAGGAAAATAAACTCTAAAGCAACGTTAAACTTGTACGTATTTGTACACTCTTTTCATCAGTTGCTCATCGCCGAGTCTATTCTAGTCAGCGTGTACGTCCGTGCAGCGTGTAGTCTGGTTCCCTAGACATGACAATTATTCTCATCGCTCATATCACATCTGGCCTGGGAGCCAGACTATGCAGCGTGAATATGCAGTGCGCACGCGCGATTTGCTTAGTAACCACCCTCATACGCACACGCACTTACTTGAAGGCGCAGTCGCTAATCCAATGACCGAGCGTGTTTTCGCGCCAGTTACCAGAAACATGTTTCGGCTTTGGTCATTGGTTGAGCTTTTTCGTGACATCGGTTGGCTGGAGTGACGTCACTGTTCCAACCAAAACTAAACAAATGAGGGCGCTAGCGTGCGTGCCCGCTTTCGTGCGCACGTACATGACATACGACTCGGGATTAAAACTGATGAAAAGAGACTACAAACACGTACAAGTTTAACGTTGCTTTAGAGTTTATTTTCCTGATTAATGTCGGTCAGCATCACATATGGAATTCCTGAACCCCTGGATCAATAGAGAAGGACACATAGAAAATGTAGGCGTGAAATAAGCTTCTGTAACGAGGTAAAACGTAACAAAAATCTGGTCCAAATTTTGGGTGGTCTTATGTAGAGAATTCTCATCCTGGACGTTAGTCGTAATGCAATGAAGACTTCGTCCAACCTGGGCTAGATGTGTATCACAATGGATGCTTTAAGGCAGTCTGTAGTGTTGGCCTCAACTGTAGCCTGTAGGAGGTCACTGTACCACATGTATACCATATGAATACATGGATATGTACTGGAATTCAGTTAAAAAGATACAGTAGCATCTGCCACTTGGGTGTGCAGCATAGATAGGGTAGGCAAGCCCATAAAAATGCGACTCAAATACTAGACTTCCTCTGTCTTGTGAGCCACACACCATTGCATCCAAAAATTCCTGAATAGTTGTATTTCCTGAATTTGAAATCTAGACTGTTTTTGTCACTTCATATTCGCTTTGAAAGCTACTTTCCTGAGCAAAAACTAGGAAAAGTTGAATTCCTTACCACTAGATGTTTAGTTTTCCTGTTAAATTGGCAGGAAAAGTTTGTAGAGAGTTAAAAATACAATTTGTTTCAATTGTTAAACTGTTAACTGGAATACAGACATGCCACGCTATACTCACCTGCAAGATTTCCATTGCCAACATTCATGTACACTGTTGCTAACACAATGAAGAAAAGAAAGGCACATGACAGCAGAATCATTGGAACATAGTGGCCAATCCTGGCCCCAAGGCTGGAGGCAGAATGGTCCTCAGTTGCAAACTCCTCATACAGATTTTCTTCCTCTTCTGGGAAACTGGAACTTGGCGACTTGCTAGCTGATTGTGAGCTGCCTGGCTGAGCTGCCAATGAATGAGTTCCAGATGTATGGTTTGATTTTGAATTCAGAAATGTAAAACCTGGTGTTTTGGAAGTAGTTTTGTTAGACATGTTGTTAGATTTGCTTGAACTTGGTGTACTGTGATCGTGGATGGGAATTTGTTGAGAGTTGAGATTATTTCTTGAGGCTGGGGCAAGAGCATTACTGTTGTTTTGGGTGGCACTTAATTTACTTGCATCCACTTCATCATCATATGCATCTGACAGACGAAGACGATTGTGAGATTTACGAGGAGTGCTGGTCCGTGGTGTTGATGTGGGGAGACTTCGCCGTGGAGAGGGTTTTGTTGTGGACCACCACAGACCAGAAGATGGCCTACCAGTTACTGATAAACTGCTTGCTCCATGATCTTTTGTGTATGTTTGGTTCATCAAAGGGTTTGTTGTGTGTGCAGACTCATAACTTTCTTTACTGTTTGAAGTATTTCTTCTTCCTGTAGCGTGATTCGTGTTGTCTGTGTCAATTTCCATATCTTCCTCGTCATCATTTTGATCATTTCCATCCACATCAGAGTCTGAAAAATCGTCATTCTTAGGCATTAGTAAGGACTCAGTAATGGCGACTCGATCTGCCTGCTGACGGCGACCTCCAGATATGTCTCCTGCTGCCCTCGACTTGTTCCCCGTGTCTGAACGGGCGAGTGATGATCTCGCACTCGGTAACGTACCAGTGGAATATCTCTTCGATTTGGTACTAGCATTTAACCGTGAACTAATCAAGGAAGGCTGCTTTGAGAGTAAATCAACGTGTTCGTCTGCTGTCCCGTTATACGATGTCTGTGGCTTTGCCTTAGTGCTTCTTCGCCGTAAAGATTTGCTTTGGCTGGGCATGGAGCGACGTCGGCTACCCGCTGCCGCTGATGACTCGACATCACTTTCGTCAGAGCTGAACCCAAGCAACTTGCGACCTGGTGTGGGCGGTTTTGGCGTGGTTGTTTTCAATCTCGCCTCAGCTTGGAGTTTCTCTAACTTCTTCAAGTAAACTTGACGGGTGGAGTCTGTCACAGGGCCAGCACTGAAGCCCAAACGCTTCAACTCTGCTCGAAGTTCCCGATCCGTGAGTGCATTTGATGCCGCCATTTTGTCGTTGTAACCCCGAATTCCCGGATGTATAACTGTACATACTGCACTGCACTAGTGCATGCACTGTACGTGGTAGGCGCAATATACTACTAGTACGTACTGTACGTAACGTACGTAACGTACATGTACATGTACATGTACGTACGTGACTGCATGTAACTGCGCGGCACATGCACAATGGATGTGTCGTGTCGATGTCCTCAAGACGGAGGTCACGTAAAGTAGATGACAATCAACATGTTCCTCACTGTGCAAATTAATCGCATGGAACTTCGAAGGACAATGAAAGAAAAGTTATTGCGGCCCTCAGTGAAGTAAATAAACATCTTTTTAATTATTTGTTTGTTTCACAATTCGGATGGAGGATCCTTGCCTATGATAGCTTGTCGAGATGGAGGGGTTCCTCCCGGGCCTATGGGTCTTCGATCTGGAGAGCTACAAACCGATACCGGTTACACCTCTATGTTCCGACACCCCTATGTTCCGACTGCACATATTCCTATTCCTAACCCTAACCCTAACCCTAACCCTAACCGGGAGTAAAACAATCTAGGTTGTCGGAACATAGGGGTGTCGGAACATAAAGCAGTCACCACCGATACCGATAGCGTATCCAGGTTGACCGCCGTCACTGAGAAAAGGGAGGGTGGGGCGGCAGCTAGGCACATTATTGGGAACAGGGGCGGCGGGCGGGGGGGGGGGGAGTACGTCTTCCCCCCCCCCCCCAGGCATGTGCCACCCCGTGTGCACCCGCTCAGAATTTGGGAAGGCAATAAATGCCGAGCTTATTGTACCCAAAACAAAAAACCTTTTTTTCATAGCGTTGCAGACGTCCACAAAGGAAAAAATAAGACCTTTTGTGTTTGATAGACACAAATTTTAAGACAGTTTTTTTCTCTGGACACCTGGCCTCCGTAAAATCTCATAGGGGGAGAGGAGTGGGGGTTACGGTACCATAATAACTCAGCGCGGACGACCATGCACACTTTTTCGGGGAGGCCCACGCGCGAAATTCGTTACTAACAGCCGATAGTTGATATATTTTCTTATAAAAAGGGCACTTGTTCAACATTAAAAATACCCCCCCCCCCTTAAAAAAAAAAGCTGGCTACGCCTCTGGTCATACCGTGGTAATCCAATTAAAGTCAGTGGCCTGCGCGCGCTGTTCCTGTTCAAACAAGTGTTTTATTAATCGTCTGACTAGATTTCTAGTTGATATGCATCAATTGTAAAATTGGGCGATACGGTAATTTTTGACGGCAGTTTTATTATTCATATTGTGTAAAATCGCTTTCAAATAAATTACTGCTGAATTTCACTGGAAAGAGAGACTTTCTAAATCCTGGGCTGTACAAGACAGGAGAAATAACAGTTTGAAAGCCGATAGGGGGCGCTGCTCAGTGTGAGAACAGGATGAGTCCTGTAGGATCACCCCTAAAATCTTTGTTCGAAATTCATATAATGCAAGGACATCGGTAGGCCCCTATGTTTGAAAATCGCTCATCGGGAGTTGTCATCGGGAGTTGAACATTGTAACATCAGGCATTGATTTCACTCAGATTCCTTTTCACTTGCAGTTTTCCAACTGGCGGATGTACGGTGCGTTGCGTCTGTTGCTCTTCGACAAAATCCCTTTTTTTCTGTTCATGACTTTTCAACTTTATTGGAATTTTGCGTCGGGGTGATTTAAATCAAATTAAGCTTTGCCCTTCACTGACGTTTAAACACTGTATAACTCAGAGTGTGTTACCTCCCGAGTGAAAGTTGGAAAAAATCACTCGGGTGGGACTCGAGCCCACGACCTCCTGCTTTCTAATGCAGATGTCTTACCACTCGACCACCGAGCTAACGGGATCGGTTGGCTGGTTCGAATCTGATGTACATAGCAGCGGGTATCGCATAAACTAGTATGAGATGGAATTTTGCGTCGGGGTGATTTAAATCAAATCAAGTTTTGTCCTTCACCGACGTTTATGCGGTACCCGCTGCTATGTACATCAGATTCGAACCAGCCAATTGTTAGTTCGGTGGTCGAGTGGTAAGACATCTGCACAAGAAAGTAGGAGGCCGTGGGTTCGAGTCCCCCCGGGTTATTTTTTCCAACTTTCACTCGGGAGGTAGCACACTGAGTATGCAGTGTTTAAACGTCGGTGAAGGGCAAAACTTAATTCGATTGTCAACTTTTGTTTTATTCCAACCTAAAATCCTTTATTTTCTTTTGGACGTCTGCAACCACATAGCTGACAAAAAATAATGTGAGTTTTTTTCAAGTTTTTTTTTTTGGGGGGGGTGCACATAGATCCACTTTTTTTTTGGCGGTGGAAGTCTCATTCAAAAGCGAATACATTATTTTGTAGGCCCTATTGCTAGAAAAATAACCAGCAAGTTAGAGAAGGATTCTCTTTTTGGAATCTTTTATATATCAATTCAACTATTCTTGAGATGGAATTTGGGTCGGGGTAATAATGATATTTTAATATTAGCTTTTGCCCTCCACCGACGTATAAACACTGAATACTCAGTTCAAAGGAGATCCATACGGGAAAAGATTTACTACCCAAAATTCTTTCAGAACTTGCTGATGATCGCAAGGAACACAAACACGCCCCTTTCTCTCATCAATAGTTGCATCCGGAACCTCCGGAAGCACGGGAAACTGAAGAATGTCGGGTCTGTCAAAAGATGGAAGTGGGAAACCAAAACTCTTGAATGTGTAACGTTAATTAAAGATATAATGTCCAAGCGTCTTTTATGTTCCTTCTTATTATCATTCATTGCTATTTTGCCCTTTTAATTGCTACTTTTGAATGATACATCAAAGAGAGAGGTGGCCTCCAAAAAGGAAGTGGGCGGGGACGCTAAACATGTTTGTTGTTTTCGTCTTAGGGTAAAGGCTTCATTCCCCGCGCTGATTTTCCAGTATCATCCCAAACAAATAGATTGCTTTTCTAAATTGCTGTTTTACATGGGTTATTCAATTTTCAATAGGACGTCGACTGAAAAATAATCGGCCCATGTTTAGTTGTTGAATTATTATTAGTTTTGTCGCGGGGTAGGCTGGTTCCCGCCCCACAATCAGTACATATGTACGGACCTGTAGCCAGTCTGCTGGCAAAGCGCATCTGTTTGTTTGTGCCCCCCAAACAAGAAACCTAATTAATGTAGGCTTACGCATTTAAAATGATTCATCCCTATATCAGGATCGATAATGTAGCTGTCGGTAGCGCAATGTGGGAATGTAAATTCCACACCCCTTACCTATAAAAAGTACATCAAATTAACAACATTCCCATTTTGCCCAGGGCAATAGCCCTGTAACCTAATGACGTCACGCTTTGTTTATGTGTGCTCGTTCTTATTTTAGCAAATTGAGGAGAGTCACAAGCTCCTAAAAGAAAGCGCACATGTAAACAAAGCATGGTGCCATGTTGTCTCAGGTCTATGTAACAGTTGTACGCATTAGCTCCATGATTAATGTAACAGCCAATTTACCGGCTAGGGATGAATCTTCCCCTTATACATTTGGCCACTTTACTTCTCTTTCTCTCTAAATATTCCCCGAAAACAAAACCATGGCAACTATAATACTTTTCTGGGTTTTTTTTTATTAATATATTTATTTTTTTAATATTCTATCCTAATTTAATCAAGTATTTTCCACCACCAACAAAATGAAATACAATAGAACAAATAAGGGGCTCTTGAACCCCAACATGTGTTTGAGTTTGAGTATCCCAAGTCCATCAATTAAATTAACATAAAACTTACATAAGCAAAAGTAGCCATCTCAAGTGTAGATTCATTCAATCATTCATTCTTTATTATTGTTACCATATCTCAAAAACAAAATTAACATTAGAATGTCAATCTCCATTCCCCATTGAATTAATTAGATGTACGAATTCGCTTTTACATTCTGTTTTTAATCTAAAGATACATATCCAACCAAAACAAAGCCATAATGCGAAATTAAAAAATGTTAACAACACAACACAAGAACACAATGTTTACTCATTCGTAGATATACAAGTCATGCACAAGTAACATAATTTAGACACAACTAAAGAATATCCTCAACACAGTAAGTTTGCCTTAAGAGCAACGTTTTACAAATGACACCAACGTCATTTATACACATGACAATATGATATTACAAAAATGTACATGAAATCCAAGGGCCTACTCAGATTTTCAATACCAAGGTTGGTTTAATAAAAAAAAAAATAATGTACATACAATATTCAGTTTCATAAACTTACAAGACAAAATTAAGCATTCAGTTTGTACAAATAATGCTTTGTGCGAAGAAATACGTAAAGAACATGGAATGAGACCAAAATGCTTACTTTGGTGTTTGATTTCTTTCGTTCCATTTATAGTTTAAAGTAATTATGTCCGTTTTAAACACATGCAAAAGTAACAGATACTTTCAATTATACAGAACATCCTCAACAGTATATAAAGTTTGCCTTACGAGCTGTAGTTTGACAAATTGAGCGTTACGTAGTGGGATTGCACTTGTTCTTCAAGTAAGATGCTTGACAGAAAGAGAGCCATAATGACAGAAAGAATATGAACACAGGGTAAAGGAACAATACCTTTTGTGATACATATACATGTATGTTGAACTGACCACAGGACGAAAAGTGGTATCCACTTTGAACATCAAGGACATGCAGCTACATTTAACCTAATCAAAGCCACAAAGAAAACATATAAACAATTGTAAGTACCAATTGTTTAGTTCATTGGGTTGTTTGTTTTCTCTTGTTTCAATACAACTTCATCAATTACAAGATCTAAAGTTAAACAAAATTTGAAGGAATTATACCACATGTAACCACAATTGAAATAGGTTTCTCACTAAGAGGCATATAACATTTCCCAGTTAATTTAACACTTATATCATGCAAATTCCCTAGACAATTTAAATGTTAAATTTCGTTCATGAACATCGTCAAACACATTTTTAAATTCCTTTTTAAAAATCCACCAGTTGAATTCATTTACGGCGCCGTATGCCTACAATTCAAATGTAT